AAGTTTTTTTTTTTTTTAATTCTAAGACTTGAAATCCAATCTGTGAAACTTTTCACAAAGCCTTGCAGATTTGGATTATATTATTTTTAAACTCTAACACTATCTAAATCTTTCACTTTCGACAACACTTATTAAGTTTACAATGTAAACGTTAATTAAGAACTAAACTTGTCTAAGTGTGAGATGCTAAACGAACTTCTACTGAGAATTTAATTTTCATAATTAAAATATATTTATGCCTTCACTCTGCTGCTCTGCATTATTCAACATTGTCTGCTCTGACGATGTTTTATTCTTCTGCTCTGAAAATATTTAATTCCTGAATTGAAATGCCTCCGAAAGAATTGGACTTTTAATTAACAATCGTAAAATCAATTTTAACTTTTAACTTTTTATTAGATAACTCTATTTAGACTATTTACCATCATCAACCTCATAATCAATTAAGAGAAAAGAAAGAAGTTATTAAGTAAGAAGTATCTCAAAAAATCGACATTTTCTATATCTCTGCTGCTCAGCACTATTAGCGTTGTCTGCTCTGACAACGTATTACTCTTCTGCTCAGAAAAAATTTAACAACAAAATTAAAATAAAGGATCGAATGCACTAGCAAATAAATCATCTATGATGATTAGGGGAGCGAAACAGGACGTCCATTGGACAAAAGGTCCTACTCGCCTTAAGAGGATTTATTTTGTAGATCCCCCCTTACTGATGATGATGATGATTACATTCACTTCAATTAATACGTAATAAATATTTCTTTCACTCATTATTATTGAAAAAAATCCTTGATATATTCAGATAGATAAATGAATGAGAAAGAAAAAAATATGCTGAAATGTTTCTGGAAAAAAAAGAGACGAGAGTACTTGTAATAAACTTGTTTTTACATAAAATGATCGAAAGGTTCGACAACAGAAACTCGTTTCAGTAACGCAAATAGAAACATCTTTGACAATATTTATTTCTCTTTGGTTAGCTTCAGGTGTTTATTCTCACCTCAAGGTAGAAATTGGTAAACAAACGAAACCAATCAATACAACAGTGTATTCATTCTTACATATCTAATCTTTTTTATGTAATCTTTGAAGTGTTCGTTCCGTATCATTTGAAGGAGTTTGAAGGTTGCTATAGATTTTTAATTCTCATAAAAGCAACTGACCCAAAAATACAGCAGCCTTCATGTTTTTTTTCTTCTTGTACATATCATGTAAGTATTCGTGTAGTCTCGATTCATTTCTTTCATATTTTTATTTTGATTAGTTGACATAGGATTTGTCGATAAAAATATCGTTTTGTTCCGATTCGAAAAAAGAATTCGTTAACAAATTAACCTTTTCCTCTCTATGTCCGAACAGAAAGATTACGTGAAAGAAATGAAAAAAGTGATTTAATCGTACGAATGTCTTAGGTTTCAACTTGAAAGTTTGTAAATTTATTCACTTACATATAAATATATTTGTGAATAAATCGTTCATTTTACGATACTGTTGCTTTCCGGCTGTAGTGTGTTGTTGTCTCAGGTTTGTATTGAACATTTTGTGATTGCTTGGTCTTGTTTCTTCTCATGGCGAGCTTAGCATTGACTTTGAAATCGACATGGAATTTACATCCAACAAAGCTAGAAATGAGCATGTGACCTCGGTTTAGCTGTAGAGACGTTTTAAGATTTCGAGCTAGAAAAAAGAATTTGTTCTCCCTTCTTTTGCTTAAAAAATTAGACTTTGAAAACATCTAATAGAAATTGAATTTCTTCTTCATGACCTAATCAATCATTGAACAAAATTGATCACGTGCGAACGAGCGGAAATTGGTTGTTAAAAGATGTGATACTTTTCTCTTTAAGAGCAGGAAAAGCCTGCTCTCGGACGTTAGTGGCTTACTTGGTTTGAGCATAACTAAGACGATTATGTTCAGATTCCTTTAAGAATCAATAGGATACGGAAATTGATTTATGATGTTGATAACTGAATACGTTAACAGCTTAATTCATATGTGACGTTCAACACAAAATCGAATTGTAATTAGAATGGTTCGTGTCATACGAATTCGCAATCATTAGCAGACTTCACAATTTGTTTATTTATGAAATGTCAAAACAGATAATAATCAATTAATATTAATGACTATAAATGATGCGTACGCAATGCAGTCAGTTAACATATTTAAAGTAAATTGAACTTTCATAAAAAAATAATCGATTTTTAATTTCTTTCTTTAACTTCTCATTTCTTTAAAAGAAAATCGTTTTTTCTTTTATATTTTAAAATATGTAATGATGCTCGAATAAAATATGACGTTCTTTCTCAATTAAAATGCTTTATCAGCTTGTTCAAAAGATTTCGCTCAAAACAGCATTGAAATCGAAAGCTCGTTTGAAAATTTCTTATCATCAACTGTAACTGACAAACCTTGAACTTGACTTTTCCTAACTCGAACATAATTTATACTGTGATGAATCACTTAACTGTAGAGTCTCCAACATTTCTCCACTATCTTAATACTTAAAAGCTTAATAGGAATGAAATTTATTGGAAAATCGTTTGTGCGCATGAAAAATTTAAAACAAAGCAGGAAGAAAGAAGAAAAAAAATGAAAATGAGCTTTTTCCATTCTTACATTTCAAGAATCTTCATTTGTATCAATTTATATACATTAAAAAGCAATTAAACTCTAAGTTTTTGATTAATGATTGTTTAATTTTCTTTATTATTTTAGAGACTTTTGTTACAAAATACTAAAAAATATCTCCATTTAGTCTCACAATGTCTATAAACAATATTCCAAACGAACTTACAGTCTTGAAAAAGGGAATACAAAAGGATGTCGAAGTAAGTCGTAACAAAGAATTTCATAGAAAATCTCAGTGGATTCAGGTAAGAGTGGGATTATTGGCTGTAATTAAGCTTTAATTAAACTCACGCCCATTTGAAACATTTTCACAATTTATGCTCAGATTGCCTGCAGTTTAATGGCGAATGCTACCGTACTCTCATCAGGAATGGGTTTAGGTTTTCCAGCTATAACGCTAGAAGCACTTAAAGACAAAAATAATCCTTTAAAGCTTAGTGATGATGAAGCAAGTTGGTTCGGTAAGTCAACTGAATGAGTAAAAAGTTGCACTCTTTGTAATGTTATGTTATCTAAAACATTTGATTGAAAACACATTCTTGAAATTCAAAACGAAATGAAATTTCTCATGTTTTCTTTTCTATTTCTATTATTTTCTAACTTGTTTCCTTGTATTTTTGAAATAGCTTCTATCAATGCTTTAGTATGTCCCTTGGGTGGAATTTTGTCTGCCACAATATTAGATCAACTTGGAAGAAAATTGACTCTTACACTTATCAACATTTTCTCAATAATATCTTGGAGTCTGTTGTACTTTTCCAGTTCAACAAATTTCAATGAAATGTACTGGCAAATTATGTTGGCAAGGTTTCTGATAGGTGATATTTGAAGATACCATTTACGGAAAAAGCATAATAATTTATTTTTTATGTCTTAACAGGTATCACGATTGGATTGAGTTCAAGTCCAGCAGCAGGTATAAATTTTCCATGGAAGCAGTGTTGAGTTTTGACCCTTCACAATTTTACATAATGTAGAAGTAAGTCAAAGGGTAGGGTGTCAATTTCTTGGGTCAAAGCCCAACATAATGCTCTCATTGAAGCGTAGTAAATATCTTCTCTTAGAAGTTGTGAAATGACTCAAATTTAATTTCTATCTATCATAGTTTTATGTGATAAAATAATGCTAGGTAGTATCAAAGTATCACAATGAAATTTAAAAATGGAACTGATTTGAAACTTAAGATACACCTACGGGTATGGAAAACATGATTGCAAGATTGTTATGTGATATTGTGATACTGGCATTATTTGTTTACAAAAAAAATCCAAAAGAATGTAAATCATGTTTAACTGGCAATGTTGTAAAAGAAAGCAATTGGAACTATGTTTGATTGAACATGAATTTCAATGATTCATTCATTCAACAGTTTATTCAGCTGAAATTGCTACACCAAAGCTTCGCGGACGGTTAACAGTTTTAACCAGCATGGCAATTGCTGTTGGTGTTCTGATGATTTATGTTTTGGGCTATTTTTTCCCTGTAAGTTCTATTGAAACCTCTGAATTGAATTCAATGAAACGTCTTTTGGTTTCTACTGTTGTTATGCTTATTTATTTTTTCAGAGCGATTGGCGAATTGTTAGTGGAATAGCTGCAATATTCTGTGTGTTCACAATGATCCTCATTTATTTTATACCTGAGTCTCCCACGTGGCTCATAGCTCGAGGTCGCAATAATGAAGCTCGCAAAGCGCTTGCATATATTCGTGCTATAAAGTCAAACGGTAGATATATTTGAATTTGTTCTCGACATGTTTTTTGATAAACTTTCCATTCAAACGCTTTTACAGAAATATTCTCAAATGAATCATTAAATGAAGAGCTGGAACATATGCATGATCAAATTATATCGCGAAATAGTCATTTGCAAAGCGATAGCCTTTGGAGAACACTGAGAAAACCTGAAATTTTCAAACCGCTTGTAATCATTAATTCATTTTTCGCATTCCAACAATTCTCCGGGACGTTTGTGATAATTGTTTATGCAACGCAATTTGCTGAAGAAGCAGGCGCTGGAATAGATAAATTTTTGTGCACCGTTCTTATTGGATTATCGCGAGTTTTGGCTACCATCATTCTTGCATATTTCATTCTTGATAAATATGGACGAAAACCACCTACAATCTTCTCCGGAATCGGTAAGCTATTGAAGAATGTACACATTTTAACATAATTTAATTCCATTATTTTAAAACGAAGCAGAAAATCGAATCATTGAAATCGATTTGAGAGCTACAACTTCTTCATTCGTCCCCATTGACAAATCGTGTCATAAAATTTTCTCGTTATACTTTCAGGAATGACTCTTTCAATGATAATTCTGTCGTTGTATTCGTCATTTGAAGGAAAACTTCCGTTCAGTAATTGGGTAACGACAGCTTTTCTTCTCGTTTATATAATAACATCGACGTTTGGATTTTTAACGATTCCATTCACCATGCTGCCTGAGATGTTTCCACAACGTGTCCGTGGAATAACAGCAGGAATTACCGTGTGCATAGCATATTTCATGTCATTTTTAGTCATCAAGTCATATCCGTCTATGTTGAACTGGATGGGAAACGGCATGATATTTCTTTTCTATGGAACAATTTCATTTCTCGGGACTTTATTTGTTTGCTTTGTGTTGCCTGAAACGAAAGGAAAAACTCTACAGGAAATCGAAAACTTATTCAAAAGTCGGAAAAGTTCGAATATAATAGAGAACCTCAGTTAATTCTAATTGTCATGCTCACCCATCATGTGAACTCAATAGACAGATTTTTAATTCTTCTCGTATGACGTAAATCTCACAATCGAAAAGTTTCAAATTTTATCTCAAGATTGACAATACATTAATTGAAATTCTAATATTTGGTCTCTTCAGTGTCACTTTATTTAAATAGATATCGAATTTCGTAGATTTATTTTCCCGTCTGTCGATTTAGACTTAAAGACATTTCCTATTTGTGAATTTTATGGAAATATTTAAAGCAAAAAGAATTCCTTATGCTTTTGGACCTTGAAATATTTGTGTCAGACGCATTCAAATAAAAGCGTCTGATGTTCTTTTAACATTTTGTTTTTATGTCATTCTACGGCAATACCTAAAACTTATGTAACTTTAAATCTCATATGTTAAAAACGGATATCTTCGGAAATAGGAATCAGTGAAAAAAGAAAAAAACAGTTTGAATATTGTTGCTGCTAAGTAACATAAAACTTTTAATGTTGTTTGCATCATTTCCATTTATTTTGATTTTGCAGTTCACAACAAGCGGATTATTTATAAACATTTTTGTATTTTAACAATGTATGTAACATGAATATTTACAATTTTTGTGGTATATTTATTTTAAAACTGTTTACATGAATAAATTGAATTGGAATCTTTTATTAATACCAAAGGCAAAAATTATTAGCTGCAATGAAATGGAAAGTTTGATCAGTATCAAACCTAATTTGAAAAATTAGTTAAGAATTTATAAGCAGTTTAATAAAAATCTGTCATTATTAAATACCAAGGTTTACAGTTTATATTTTATTACTACACTCTTTGACATTTCTTCAATTTTTGGAATTTCTGACAAAGCATTGTAAATTGATTTACTTTCTTCGTCAATTGATTAATGATGAGACTTTTTTTCCTTTAGTTCTACTTTGAGACAATATTATTGTCGAATACATTTTCTAACAAAAAGAATGTTTTCAAAACCACAACTTCAAAATAAACCTCTGCATAGAAAAAGAGTTATGGTGGTCAATGTCACATAAAACCGAGAAGAATTTGTAAATATTTGAAAACTTTAAAGGCACAGAATTCGTATATTTAAGGATACCGTAAGAGTATACATGAAAAGTTGAATGAAACGCATAAACCTTTTTTAACACACATTTATCTCCTTTTTTAAAATAATAATTATTTGCTTCGTCTGATTCCGAAATTATCAGAAGAAATAAAACCAATTTTCACTGATATTAGCGGCATTTTATCTTTGCATTGAAATCTGTTCTGTGGCTATATAACGACTAATTTGTTCATCATATATTTTAATTTTCCATCAAAATAATTTAACTTCATATGGAAATTATTCATTTAATTTGGATTCTGCATACTGAACCTTTGATATAATCACATACCTGAGCTTGTTCATCATAATTAAATTTAAATCAAATCAAAAAATAATTTATTTTAATGTATATTTATTCGAATTAAATTCAAAAATGAGAACCTCATCGTAATCAAAAGGCAATAATGAAATAATTTAGCTGCCTTGAGACTTTATGTAAATATTTTTGTTTACTCTGAAGATGCTTAAGAGTCAGAGAAAGACAAAGTCAGGAATGAGGAATTTACATTAATATTGCAACAAATTAAATGCATTGGTAAGATTATTAACATAGAAGATATTAATCTGATACAATTTACTAGTGCTCAAACAATGTATTATATTAATACCAGACCTATTTCAATATAGATAGCATTTTTGTTTTGAATATTGTAGCAAAGTTTTGAATTAGTTTTTCAAGTTAAAATTTTATTTTTAGAATATTAGAAATTTAATTAACACTCCTTTGATCTTTTTTCTGCTTTCGACATTTTCTATCAACGCCTACACCTCTTAAAGCTTGTCGTTTTCCTTCTTCAAAGAGTTAAACTTAAAAAAGTCTGTCTGTGAAAATGTCCTTCAATAAAAATAAAAGGGATTAGATAGATACGCTGACGAGAAATTGTTTTTCTGACTGATTAAATTTTTTAGGAATAAAATTACAGACAATTTATATCGGAAAGCACTTAGTAATTTATATATAAAAAGGCATTAAATAGCAAAAGCTTCACATTTCTCTTTCCATCACGTTCAAAACTTTTTACCATTCCATCAAATTCTCAGATTTTTAATCTATTGATTCAGTGATATCAAGACTCTTGTCAGCAATTCCCATCATCCTAGCAAGAGCTTTTCAACCGCAATTTTTTCATGATTTTTTACCAACAGATTTGGCAGAGAACCCTCTGAAATCTTTATTGGATTTCAAATGTTTCTAAGTCTCATGGGAGTAGTTGTTTGTTATGTCTATTCCTTCAAGGAAAATGTCTTTAGAAGAAGATGCCTGCTGGCTGTAATATGGGCTTCATCTTTTAATGGAGATTTAAGGTTTCTGACACTTTTCTCGTTCACAGTGATTTCGGAAGTTTTAAGGAACAGAAAACAGACAAGGACAACAATTTTCCTAGTGACTTTATAAATATTGTGTATGTGCTGGATAACTTACGAGGTTAATTAACATAAAGCTTATTCAAGTATACTCTTATATTTTTCGCAATAAAATCATTTTATTGTCCTCGAGAATAATTTCTCTGTTGGTGTTGGCTTTTGTTTTTCTCTTCTTCATTCTTTTGGGACAAAAGAGAGAATTATTTGCGAAATTGAAAATTATATCCGAGAGAAGAACATTCTGAAGTTGATGTTAAAATGGCATCGAAAACATAATTAATTTTCTGTAGACAGAAACATTTCGAATAGCTGGTTCCGCTGTGAAAAGCTATCTTTATTGCTTTTCACAATGAAAATGCGAAGAATGGCGAAAGAAACAAATGACAAATTAATTAAATATATATCTTATGAAATCAGTTTATTTTTTTATTCTTAGTACATATTTTATTTCGTAACTAATAATAAAAATGTGTGCAATGCTTAAATTGTAATTGATGAAGTAAAGAATTCAAACTTAGAATATTCTACAATTAGTAATGTTGAATTTTGTGTTGTGTTGAGCAGTGTTAACACAAAGTCATTTTAAAATTAATATTTCTTTGGTGCTATCAAATACAGACATTATCATAGATGATTTCATTATATAATAATTTTCTTTTTGTCCGGTCATCATAAGGAAAGAAAAAAGATAATAAATGTTTTTCTTTTGTTATGTTTCACTATCAGTCGTCGTTTCTCTTTTTTTAAATCATTTTGTTTTCTTTCGATGTTGATGTAAACCAACAGTTTTGTCATGTAATAAGTGGGACAAAATCAAACATTGCTATAATCAATAATCACAGAAGAAAAAGAATGAGAAAATAAAAACATTTAATTGAAATTAATTTCGCTACTTTTGCCCATCAACAATTGAATGCTATAAATCAAGAAAACGGGAGCTTAATATCTACAAAAGATCATTTTGCTTCGCTTTTTCTTGTCAATTCTAAGCATTTGCAATTAATTTCAATCTTGAGATTTGCAGTAACAGTACTAATAGTCCATTAATCTTAAATCGCCATAGCCAAAATCTTCAATTTATTTTCTAGGTTCGAAGGTTGAATGCGAATTGATATGGATTTTCAGACATCGCAAGTGAACCAACAGGCACTTTAATTTCATCTTCATTACACAATGGACTAATGTCAAACTCCTTCAATAGATTTGCAACAATGGAGAAGGATAGAAATTGAACCATTTTATAGCCCATACATGAACGACGACCGACACCGAATGGAATAAAATGATCGGGCTTCACAAGTCTTCCATCTACGATGAATCTCTTCGGTTCAAACTTTTCCGGTTCATTCCAAAGTGATGGCGACATATTTAAATCGTAATTGTTGAGGAAGATTAGTGTACCAGCTTTCACTGAATAACCTGTCATTCCAAAGATTGGCAAAATAGGAGAAGAAGAAAAAAGAGAGAAGAAAATGAGTGTGAGATGCGTCCATTAAAAATCCATTAAATTTCATAAAAAGGTTTTCGTTATAAATCAACTTACCGTCAATCGAGCTGTCCTGGTTTGCCACGTGAGGTACAATTGGGGATGTGACAATACGTAATGATTCCATTATCACGGCTTCAGTATAAATTAATTTATTACGGTCCGCAATCAAGACCGAATGTTCGCTTCTTTCATTCAACAATTTGTCGACTTCCTCTTGGATATTTTTCTGTACTTCCTTATGCTTTGCAATGAAAGCGAGAACTTTTACAACAAAATTTGCGACTGCCGAGTGTCCACCAATGATATCTTCCAATGCAAATAGAGCCTTAATGAAAATAATAAATTTAGTTAAGCTGTTACTATTTCTTAATTTAATTTCTTCTCTTACGGTTTCCCACTCGAATCTGGGTTGAAGCTTTTGTTTAACGTGGTCGATCAATGAATCGATATAATCATTTGGCTCATCACCAACATTCCATGACTCGAAGCGATCTGTTATAATGTTTTCGTTAATAAAGTTACGAATTTCATGCGACCATTGTTCCATTTGTTTCATCTGATTACGACGGAGTGGCAACAGGAATGGAAGAAAATCGGAAGCATATCCCTGGTTTACTTCCCAGAAAATTTTATCGAAATTGGTGATGAGCTTTTGAAATTTCTCGTTGTCTCGATCAAAATTCCGTGAGGTAAAATATTCTGTGAAAATATTTGCACAAGTTGACACCACTAGAGGCTTTACTGACACCGATTTTAACTCTTTCATACTGCTTTTGATTTCAACAGTCAATTGTTGTAAATGTTCCATTGTGATGTCACTAAAGCGGTTGAAATTCATTGAAAATTTCCGAGGGAACGTATGAGGAATCAGCATGTCACGACGTGTTCTCTGAACTTCGGACCAATCGCAAAAAGCCAAAGCTAAACGAGCCGAGAAGAATAAAAAGAAGAAAGAGAAGGGACCAAATTAGCGTTCAATTCAATAAATTTTCATTTAACCACTTACAATTTTCTTTATTTCCACTGAACAGCATATGGTAACGTTTGAAATTGGGTCTTGAATCAAAGTGCTGCCCTTTGCTCACTAGCACTTCTTTAATATTTTCCATTCCATTAATCACCATGCTAGGCACGCTGCCCAATTGTAATTTTATAATTTTGCCATATTTTTCTGCCAGAACGCTGAAAGCCTGGTAAGGTATCTCATAGCCATCGAGAGCATCAAGATTGCCAACAATCATTTTAGGCTTTGGTCCAGGCGCTTCCTTTAATTTCTCATCGACCTTGTCATTATTATTTTCATCCACCATCACTGAATACTTTCTATGTTCATTCTTTTTCAACATTTTCTTTCTCATTACACTTATATTTAGGTCATTTGTAATCAGAATCAGTGTTAAGACAAAAAATGTCATAACTATGTAAAGAGTGTTCGAACTGAATAGCAACATCACTGCTGAATTATACATTTTTTTATTTATTTTTACTACTTTATTTTTAATTTTTTTGATTCTTTTATTTATCTTCACTTCGAAGGATATTTTTAGCTTCGAATAATTTTTTTTACACACTTCAAATATTCAATTTTTTTCTTATTTATGATATCGAAAATATATCAAAATTCTTTTCGTGATTAATCTGAGAGATCTTTATCGATCAACTTTCAAAACTGTTCTTGACTGAAACATCTCAGTGGTTGGATGTTATATAGTGGCCTAGGATGAATAATATTTGAATCTCATGAATTTAATTAGACTTTTTCCAACCGAAGAGAAAAATTTCTTGTATGCGATTTGATGAATTAAACGGGACTCACGTCTGATGATTTGATTAATCTAAAACTAGCGATGGAATATCTTTCCATCTTTATCAATTTTTTCTCTCCAAAACGCCTTTCTGATGTGCACATTAAAATAACAGAATATAGTTTCAAGGCTCTAGAATTATCGCAAACCGTAAACTCAAACCGTAATCTGAATAATGAGAAGCGTTGAGATAACTTTCTTTTGTCAACGGAAACTTTCTCGTGTTCGAAGTGGTGTGGATTTTTAGGTTGAATAAGGAAAACTAAAGAGTCATAAGATTTTATTTCTTTTCTCGAATTTCAAGATGGTAACAAATGCTATTGCACAGTTTAAATAACAACTCTGGCAACGAAGGCGCATTTTTTGTGTATCGTTTTTTTTTTGTGAATTTAATTATTTCAATGTTCGTGGCCCATATTTGATTTGACGACACTTCCTTGTTTTTAAAAAATTTAAATTTTTTCACCCAAAAGAGTAAACAAATGGTGTTGAAAATTGTGTCAATTTCGTGTCTTAAAGACAGGAAAACAATTCTTCAGAATCTGTAAATATTTAATGAAGAAACATGAAACATTATAAGTATAAGTAGGTACATATATAAATATTCTCTGATGAAAGCTTATGTCAAAGAAAGGATTCGTGAATAAGAATTCCTCTACAATGTTTTCTTCAGTTCTACATGATGACATTCAATCTTTTATCTCAATTCAAAAAATATAAAGAAGAAATTTCAGTGACATCGATAAGATCGAGAATAACATGATTCCATATGCATATCGATGACAAGCTTAAGTTATATGAAATCCTTATGTTAGATAATAAAATCTTGTCATGTCATAAGATTATTTCAATTTGATATCCATATATATGTATGTACTCGCTCATCATATCTTTGTAGTTTCAATTTCAATGAAGCTTTCACAAGCATCTCTTTCGCATTTCAGTATACTTCATTATCCTTGAAAGGTTGAAGATTTATTTATACATTTAAGCAGAGCATTAAGCAATGTGAAAGATATTTCTCACCTTTGCAATCAGATTTTGCATTTGTAGGATAATCTTGATCTGATTTTATCATTGCTATTGCGTTTCATCTCAGTAATAATAAGGTTCCAACTTTCGAGAATATTCTTCGATATTCTTCTTATATGCACAACAGGAAATTGAAGAAACGATATATCGTTGTTAAGACCTTGATTTCTGAAATATTTGTAAATTTGAGATTATAATAAATGTTATGTGATGTGGTGTGATGTTGAATGACAAGAAGTCCCAGGGTCAAATAGGAAGCACAACTTACATAGTGAATGCTGTTGTCAGGAGTCATTAAGCTAAAAGGGATTTCATGTCGTTAAAACGTTATATTTGAGACTGTATTTCTAATGAGCTTATAATGTGAGTAAAGGGAGCAATATCTGCAACATTAAGGTTACAGTTTAACCACGCTCCAAAAATTAAAATATTTTTCTGAATTATTAAAATTTCTTCATGACTCTCCAATTCATGGAACGTGATTCACATTTTTAATGTATAAATATTTCTCATCACTTACATTTAAAAAAGCGTTGAGCTTCATATAACAGTACTATAAGTATTGTTCCTTTAATTATAGAATTTCATTTTATTGTTTTCTAACCTTACGGTTTTAATTCAAAATGGAATAAACTTTGTCGCCTACATTATCTTAATTTGGTCAAATGCAATTTAACTCTGCTTTAAGGGGTCGTGCAAATTTAATTTATAATTACCAAAACAAATACACCTAAATAAGTTTCGAGTATGATATGTAATTTAAAATCAACTACGTTTGTGCTTTTGGAATAAGAGAAGAATAACTCAAATGGTACATTAATTTATTTAACTTATTCTGCTCCTCCATGAAAACAAACCCTCTTTATGAATGGAGCACTTCCTGTGAAAAAAAATTCTTATTTTCACAAGCACCAAATGCACAAAGAAATAAATACGAAATTGTAATAATGTAAACAATTGAAATGACAAAAGCAAAACGACGAGAACTTTTTTTATTGATTTGTTGTATGTACGTTCAAATGTAAATCATAAATTTTGCCATCAGCTGTGCTCTTGTCTCTACCCGTTATGCATAAAACATTTGAGTGCTTATATTTTTTTCCATAATGGAAAATATCTGATATTGATAGAGAAACTGAAGGCAGAATCTGAGAAAAAAGTCCTGGTCGACATGAAATCATTCAATTATAATCACAGTTGTTCCACTTTGAATGTTATCAAAGTTTTCTGAATTTGAAATTAAAAATAAATTTTTAATTTTTACATATCATTTTTCCTCTCACTGCGGACATCAATCAATAAATAATTTATAAACTTTTTTTCGCTCTTCTCCCGTTTATTATAACGACACGTTTTGAGGCAAGAAATGTGGACTTTGTGAGAAATTGAGATCAATAATCATCATAAATGTTATTCTGATGATCATGATGATCTTCATAAATGTTATCCACATAATAATTTCTGATTATAAATATATAAAAAAATCTACATATTTATTTTCCTTGTGAGAGTTTTCGTTTTCAGTATGTCGCCCACAACAGATAGAAAAGTAATAAAAGAAGAAAATGAAAAAAAAATTCTTCTTCACTGAGCTGACATCCGTGACATTCACACCTGATTTGGTCCTGACATTCATCTCTCGAACCCATGTAAATTTGATGATAATTTTTTGAATTGAAACTGCTTGATGTTTGAAGAAGAAAAACAGTTAAAACTGTTTAGCGAAAAAGGGAAATAAAAAAGATGATAATGTTGGAGATGAAGCACAGCTGGATGACAAAAAGACGTTTTTATTATGGAAATTTCAATTGACTTGTGTGTGGTTATTTTGGAAGGTGAAAAGGAGAGGAAAGAATCAAAATAAATTTCAATCTCCGCTGCCTTTTCGAAAAAATCTTTTTTTCAAATCTGATTTCTTTTCGAAAACTAAATGATCAAAAAGTTTTTCTTAGAATTAAATAATAATAATTTAAATTTACATATTATTCTATAATATTTTATTACATAAAAATAATTTATCAACTTATAAATTTAGATAATTCTTAATTTGAACAAATTCGAATTTGTTTGTGCTTCAACGACAAAAATATATCAACTGTGCCCAACACTATTAACAAGATATGAAACGAACGATTTAAACCCAAAATTCTAGCTTATGACTGTATGTTTGAAGCACAAAACAATTCCGCACAAAAAAAACAGAAATTGAAAAGGCAGCGTTCATTTAATTTTTAAAATTTGAAGTTTAGTGAAACGCGCCAACAATGTTTCTAAAAAAACAAATGTCTAGGTCCGAGTGGCACAAGCGACGAAGCCGCTGTTAAATTTACCATACGACTGTCATTCCATCAAATTGGAAGGCAATCCTTTACACTAAGGCATGATGATGGCTTTTGGCTATTAGTATTTTTCAGCGAAGATATCACAAAAATGCAAATGCCTTAAATCGCATGAATAAGAAAAAAAAATTCTTTCTAAATCAGGCTACCAAATAGAATTCAAAAATGCCATAAGTTAGGTTTGTGGGCCATTATATAGATAGTTGAAACAGCAACCCAAAGTTGACACGTTAAGATTAAATTAATTTGCTTCGAAAAATTGCCAAAATGCAAACTTAATTCGTCCACAAGGACCGTCAGTGCTACTACGGAGGTATGTACATGAAATGATATTCTTTAATACTAGTTTTCTTCCAAAATTTTACATAAATTGTAAAGCTAAAAATATCTATACATCTATGTATATATGTAAATTTAAGATATTTTAATGTTCCCTATTTTTGACATTCTTTCAAAGACTTACAATTTAATGTGATAAAAAACGACATTCTCTTATGTTTCCGAAAATTTATTCTTCCAGAACAGAAAATGTATCAACAAGAACCTGCGGCTTTAAATAATATTTGTTTATCCTTTCATTCATATACATACAGAGATGTTTCATATCCTCCTATTCCTTTTTATGCTTTTAGCAACTAATAATCTTCTGACAATTCAAACGCTTAAATAATTGTGTTACGAACATTGAAAACGCTTCAAGACTAAACAAAATGTAAATTAATTCTGTTTCGAAGTCAATGTTATTTGTAACCTGGAGAGCAGGCACATGAATATGTAATCTTTCGAATGAATTTTCTTTTAAAGCTTATCATGCTTTTCTCCCATGCTATTGCATCGAATCAAAGGCGCTTGAATGCAATTGATAACTTTCTTCCCTTGTTTTGAGATGTGCATTACATTAACACCGAAATGTAAACAATACAAATGGATTCATTTGATCTATTTGTCCAGTTTATATAATATTTTGTAATCAATTGTTACATGTAAATTCTTCATCCTAGAATAAATACGTAAATATATTATATAATGCAAATACAAGGGCATTAAATAAATAATTAATGATTTAATTCGCAAAGTAGAATAAGCCTTGAAATCGTTTTCAAATACTCTTAGATTATTTTAAAATGTGAAACAAAAGCAAAAAGCTCATTGTAAGACACTAATTCTGAAATAAAGGCCAAATGATGAAGGACTTGTCATAATTTGGAAAGCTTAGAGATTTACATGTCATTGCTAATGGATTTATATAAATATTCAACAGTATCCGACAGAGAATTTTCCTCTAAGAAGAAGAAACCTCAAAAGCTATTAATCAGAAAAAAACTATGCAGATCTATTGTAATTACATATTCCTAAATCAAAGAGATTTTAATACTTATTGAAAAAAAAAATTCTTCTTATTTCATTGACCGAGATATTTTTCAGTAAGAATCTTCTTTACAATTTTTCGAAGAAAGTTTTCTTGCTTTTATGTCTCAAATGCTACATTTTTAATGAATAATCAATTGTAAAATTCTTAAAAGGCTTCTACGGTATTCCGTGGCATTCATTTTGCTTCTCAGAAAGTTCATATTTAAATAATGTGAAGATGAAACGAGACTAATCAAATGCAAAAGTGATCTCAATTCAAGCAACAAACTTTTTCGTAATCGTCTAATTTTTACAATTTTGTTGATTTTAGTTTGAATATGAATCACCTGAATGCTTAGAAAAGGCTTAAAATTAGTATAAGTTAATTCAAAGTGCTTGAAAAGCCTAGTTTCAAGCATATAATTTGTGCTAATTTACTCAGGAATCCTTAGTCACAATACAGTGAGTGATTACTATGAACGGTATTGGTTATGAAATGGAGAGCAGAAGAGAACTAATTAAAATGAGATCTAATTCACTAGCAAAAGGAATATCAATAAGTCTCGTGTCGAATCAAACGAGATCCAGTTATTTCAGGAAACTCTTTATTGCTTGATATTTAAATCTGTAACGCCCTGACTTCTTTGAAGTAGAAAATTAAACTTGATTTAACGACTTTTGTAAGCTTAGTAAACAACAATAGACTTTTATCTTATTACTTATTATTATTATTATTATTTATCGGAAAGAGTACCTCAGTTGTTATTGTATAATGTAAAAGATTCGGGCTTGTCATTGTATTATAGTCCCATAGCTATAAAAAGGCGCGTTTAAAAAGGAAAAACAAATTGATTTAAGGTAGCTACTTAGGGAAATCTCACGCTAAAATATTTTTCTCATAAACAAAGGTTTCAATCAAAACGGATTTGTTTTGAAAACATCACGTTTGTTTCCTCAATGCGTTTCATCACGTCTGCCGCCCTAAAATAGAAATGTCAATTGTATGCAATTGTGTCAATCTTGTTTACGTTACAAAAATTGGAATTTCTCAAGATTAATGTCAATTTAAAATGTTTCGAATTTTTCCACGAGAACCGTTATCATGTGCTCTACTTTGTTAGAATTTCCAAAGTTTTGAGAGCTTTTTAGCATGAAATTGTTTAAATTTATTCACGAAATCATTAGAAAATGTCATTGTTATTTTGAATTTGTTAAAATCTGATAACGTTGATGTTGTAATGGTCGTAAATTGATATTTCAGAAAATTTGATAAATGTTTAAAGAGAAAATTCTCTTCCTACCCTAAATATATTAATGACATTTGAATAAAATCTGACATGATGACATCGAAAAGTTCCAATTTAATACATCTAGGAAATCTAAAAAAATGTTTTCACATTTTTGTTTACAGAAACAATGAGAAAAAATGTTGATGAAGAGAATCATAACTGAAAGACAAGTAAATCTTTCATGTTTAACTTTTAATAACAAGAATGCAATATTTTTTCATTACTTTTTGAGAAATTTTATAATATATTTTCATTAGGCAGAAATCAATTTAACAAATAAGATTCAGGAAAATATACGAGTTTCTACTTCGTGGAGCTCATTAAGAAAAGTAAGTTGAATTCATTTTCACTTCCTTATGATCTTTTTTGTAAAAATTTTCTTTGTTTTCATTTTTAGATATCAAAAGGATTATCTCTTATTAACAAAGAGGAATAAGTATATTTAAATGAGATTAATCCTCAATCTTTTATTATTAAATTGGAAAAACAATTAATTAGCTAACCATTTAGCTCAGTTTGATGCAATTAAGGATAAAAAAGTTGTTTTAAAAATAATATTAAGAAGAATTTAATCAGTTTCATTTGTGCTTTTCATGAGCTTTTGAAATGCAAGCTTTAATTATTTTTTATGAAAATTTCATAACTTTAAGGCGCTACAATTTTCAGTTTTTTTCTCGATTATATCAGAATTACATAAGTGTGCGGGTTTATATGTACATATAAAATGATCTACGCTTGTGTATGAGTATTCAGTTCTCAATAGTATTTGGTTGTTGATTCTTGTTCTCTTCAGACTCGGAACAAAAGGTCTTGTTAAGTTAATTAGATACTAGATACTTAGTTTTTAAATACTGTCATTGTCATCAGTTTAAAGTGACTGTTCAGTTAGTGCATAATTTACAAAAAATCATTAAACTGATATGAAGATCTGACAGAAATCGAAATTTATTTTTTTTTATCGGGAGCTCGGACTTTGAAATTAAATTTATTTCTGTGAATATATAATTTGGTTCTATGTGTACCTATCACTTTTCGAACCGGCTTCTTCATTGTGTGCTTAAAAACAATTCCAAACAGCAAATTGTTAAATAAACGCACGTTCAAGTTCAAAGTGCAAATAGCCAGTTGAACTGTAAATTAGTTGGTACACAATTGGACGTTTTTGTTAAACTATTTAATTGCATATTCGATATTTTATTGACTTCAGATCATCCTAGACATGTTGATGATGTGTCTTATTAATCATTAATTGCATGACTCTTGATTTATTAAACAGAAGCTTTTGATTAATAATGTGCTTAAAACCAGGAACTATATTAAAATATGAGCGAAAAGCAATTATTATATTTAATTAAAAGTTTACATAACAGAACATACAGTCAAAATAACAAAAATTATTTAATACTGATTGCATTTCAACCATTTATGGCGTTAACGATTAAAATTTATTGATAACGCATTTATTCGTTGATATCCAACAGATTGAGATAGCTAAAAATATGGGAGCACTTCGAAACATCTTTTTTGGGGCAGTGACTCTTCTTATTGCGTTTTCTTATCAAGCATATCGAGACATTACCAAACCTTACCCAAAGCCTGATTTAGGTAAAAAATAGAATGAAAATATCTCAAATCACATTTCTCATAATTGGAATTTTCCAATAATATTTCCGATTATTTAGATATGAACTTGAAATTTTAATATTTTTTTTCTTCTTTATTTAAACATTTTTCCCGTGAAGATGTGAAAGAATTTTGGGGCCCTGGGGATGGAAAGGACTATAAAGAGCTACACCAATTCAAACCTTTTAAAATTTCATATTCTAGCGAGGTATGAACATTGGACCTGCTTTTCCTGTCGAATATTTATGAATATTTATTGTATTCGCAAATATTTTTTATATTTTGCATTTTCATTTGAGGTTCTTTTTGTCTTTAGGTAATAAAACGTTTAATGGATAGACTCGACGATGTCCAAGTAATCACTGATCCACTTGAAGATACTGCATTTGAATATGGATTTAATGCGAATCGTTTACGAGAAATTTTGAGTTATTGGAAGGGTGAATATCTGCCGAAATGGAAGGAACGTGAAGCTTTTCTCAATCAGTTCCCGCAATATAAAACTAAAATTCAAGGGTAAAGATTAAGAGAAAATCTTTTGAGAGAAAATTGGTTGAAAGTATAACATTAGTGTTGGTTTTGTTTCCGTTTTAGATTGGACATTCATTTCATTCATGCCAAACCAAAAGCCACTGAAAACACCAAAGTTTATAAACTTCTTTTGTTGCATGGTTGGCCAGGAAGTGTTCGAGAATTCTATGATATTATTCCGCTACTTACGAAACCGTCTAAAGAGAACATTGCATTTGAAGTTGTGGCTCCGAGTCTTCCCGGTTATGGATGGAGTCAGGGTTCTGCGAAACAAGGATTGGGACCATTGAAAATGTCTGTTATTCTGCGAAATCTTATGATTAAACTAGGTTTTGAAAAGTTCTACATCCAAGGTTTGCTTCTATTTTCCTTTAAAACTAACCGCATAGCATTAAAAGTTTTTGTGAATTTAGGAGGTGACTGGGGCTCTTTAATTGGATCAAACATGGCCACAATGTTTCCAGAAAATGTTTTAGGTAAGTTTCAGAGAAAAAAAGGTAAAATAGTTAAACTTTTGAATTAATTGAATGTATTAAATTTTTCGTCAGGATATCATAGCAATATGTGTGGCGTTAATAGTCCGTTAGCCAACATTAAAACAGCAATTGCTTCGTTTTATCCATCATGGTTTATCGAAGAAGAGAAGCTCATTAATTGGATTTATCCATTTACGCCAAAGTTTATGGATTTGTTGCAAGAGTCGGGATACATGCACATTCAAGCTACAAAACCTGATACAATTGGCGTTGCTTTACAAAACAATCCCGTTGGGCTTGCAGCTTACATCATTGAAAAATTTTCAACATGGACAAACTCTGAATATCGTAAACTGGTTGATGGTGGATTAGAAAAGTATTTCACACTCGATGCACTGTTAGACAATATCATGATTTACTATTTGACCAATTCAATAACAACTTCAGTTCGCATTTACAAAGAAGCTTTTCCTGAAATGGCTGAATATAATATGGATCGTGTGCCACTCACTATTCCATCAGCTTGTGCTCATTACAAATATGAAATAATGCATCAACCAGATTTCATTTTGAAAGATAAATTCATAAATATGGTTCATACATCATACTTTGATGATGGTGGTCATTTTGCGGCAATGCAGTTGCCAAAAATTATGTACGAGGATTTTACAGAGTTTGTTGAGAAAACTTTGGTTTAAATGCTTTGAAATTTGATTCAGTTTTGTTTTCAAAGACATTTAAATAAGAGTTCATTTTTTGTTTATTATCTTCTGTGAAAATAAAATGAAAGTTTCAAGAAAACAATGTGAATTTTAGCATTATCAAATATCTGCAACTTTGACTATTTAACTTTGAAATAATTTATAGTGATATCTTTTAGAAAACTTTGTTTCCGAAGAAAAGTATTTGCATTTCATAGCCCAGCAAGAAAAATGAATAGAAAATCAGAAATAAGAGAGTAATTAAGTAAAAATAAAGTCTTCAAATCTTGTTGATTAATTTTCTGGCTAATTAGGCTAAGTGAAATAAATTAATTAACATTTGGATATTCTTATCATTAAATCAATTGTCCCCAACGGGTTTCTTTTAAAGAAAATAATTCAATATTTCATTTCATACCCTTCTGGGCTCTTTTGAACTTTGATCCTTTTAAAAAACAATCTTCCTAATGCAAAATCGCATCCATGCTTTCTTTAAGGAAAAGATAGAAAGGAGTACCCTGGAAGTTAAAAATTGTTTCAATAAATTGTTTTGTACTATTTACCGGATATAAACGTTTCCATAGTCTTGAGAAATTTATTGTATTCGTTTCGGATCTGAGTAGATAAAATTTTTATCTTTATATTTTCACGAAGTATTTCTACGTGATTTCTTTTTGTTGATGATGAATGGTAAGGAATACTTGGGTTTTTTTACATAAGTTGAACATTCAAGAAGCCATTGAAACTTCTCTTTCATCTTGATTTCAAGTTAAACTTTTTCATTTAACTTATTGTTGTTTTATCATTTGAAAAAATCTTGTTTAACATCCTGTGAAGATATTTTAGTTTGAACTGTAAATATTGGGACGAAAGTATTTAAATATCTACCTTGAAATTTTTTTATTAAAATTCTAAAAATATCTTCTCATCAAATTTTGTCAGTTTGCGATATTATCATCATATTCAACCATTCATAACTCGTAAGAACTTCAAAGTATGTGATGGAAAAGGTAAAATATTTAAGTTTTTTTCCTGCGTTTTTATTTGATAAAGGAAAATTACGATTTCACGTTGTATTTGCCAACATAAATTTGAAAAACGTTCTAATAAATTCCATATTAAATGGAAAGGATAAAGCAATGATGGGTTTTCTTATAGCGTGAATTCAATTTTACTCGTTCACCATATGCGGAAGGATATATGAGTGAATTTGAAAACATAAAAGCTGTAAACTTTATCCGCTCTGTAATTTGATATTAATAATATTTTATGTGTTTATGTAAGATGAAATTCTTCCTGCTTTTCTTCTAAGCAAGCAGGTTGCATTCCTCATCTTAAATATTGGCACAACAGAGGATGAAATGCTGAAAGAGAGATGAGAAAGATTAAAATTTATATATTTAATAAACTTTCTACAAATTTCACTCACATAAATTCATACATATACATGTATTTTTATAGGCTATTAACTTATGAAAAATTTAACTTATGATTATTTTTAACCAATGCTATGTTGTTTCATTTAAAAAACTACTCAAGAAGATTATTTATTCGCTAAGTAATTTGCATTCAATTCAATTTTTGTAAGATTTGCAATATTCTATTAAACTAAAACCTTACGAATATATTTGAGAAATTTATGCTTTCATGAATGCAGTAAACAATGAAACTTTGAAGCTTTTATTAAATCCTTCTTGTACCTCAACGGATTTGAAATATTTTATAGCATGCATTCTTGCTTTTCCGTTTTTGAGAATATAAATTCTGGTAACCCTTAGCTTTGACGATATTATAGAAATTCACATTGTTTTCCCCACCACTGCTAAGTCTCACTACTCCTTACATTAAATCCCTTTTGATTCCTTCTGTTCAGAAAGAAAAGAAATTCGCAAAAGTTTTTCTTAAAACAATTGTTTTCCTTCGATGTTCGCGTTACAAACTTTTCTTTCTCTTATCCCAGCTTTATTTGCTTTTAATGCAGTAAAAAGAGATATCTCACAATAATGATATCTACGTGCTATATCTTTTTGCATGAATAATCATAATTGCAACATTTTTACCGCAAACTGATGTTATTTTAAAACTTTCAAGACACTTGTATGTATTAAATATCCTTTTAAAGTTTAAAAATGGCTTAATTAGAGCTATCAAATGTGTACAGTTGAAACAGTTTTCTTATCTTTTTATTTTGCTGAATTTCTCTTGATAACCCCACAATTGGCACATTTATTGTCGTTAATAAAGCTTAACAGAAAGTTCGTCAGAGACCCAAAAAAGATTTCTGTAGCATTTAATGTCGTTTAAAATTAAAACCCTACAAAAATTATGTTAATTTTTAAAGCATCCCTTAAATTCCTATTTTCAGCTTAAATTTGAAGAATCTAATTATATGCTCATTAAAAATCTTGTTTGTTTGCAGTGACAGTTTGTGGTTTGTGTACCTGCTACAACCCCAAGATTTATTAAAAGCCCTTTGTTGCAACGTCTTTTGTTAACTTTGACATAGAAAAGTAGAAAAGCACACGACATTGTTAATTCGAATAATAAGGTGAAAAGATAAAGAAAAAGACATAGACGTGGCAAAGCATTGTTCAAGCTTATAAATACCAATTCTCTCCTTCCAAAAGCAAATTTATTCATTTTGTAAATATTAATTAAACTAAAACAAATATTTAGATGAATTTCCTATACAATAAATTTTCAATTATTTTCCTAGACCAGGAATGAGCAAGCAAAGTAACACATAAAGGAATGATTTTGATTGAAATAACTAAGAGCACTAAAACACAATACCTTTTCTCTAAATTCCAGATGCTTTCTCATTTCCTTTTGCTGGCGAATAATATTTTCCTTGAATTTCTTTTATGTTAAAATCAAAACGTGGTTACACAAAATGAAACTTTTAGATGAGTGTAAATCGCTGTTAAACACATTTCAATATATTTAATTAAAACATTAAGACATCTAACATTGATTTTCTAATTAAAAGAAAATTCCAAAAGTTTCACTTCTTTAATAAAATCTAATTTAATTTAATTAGATTATCTGAAATTAATATCAGTTACTTATTGGTTTCTATACATTTCTTAGTTCTATAAGACATACATGGATTCGATCACTCAGTTGGAAAAGCCAATCAATCTTTTGAAAGAAATTTATGGATGAATAAGAATAAATATGAATTGATCAGTTATGATACATGTGAACCTGGCTTAATACATCTCAAATAAATTTTTTATTTCGGTGAAATATTTGAATCAAAATTACAATGGATGAAATTATAGAATTTGTAAAAAGTGGTTCGTAAGGGAAATGTTCATTCAGAAAACTCACTGCCTTTAGAACGTCCCAAAATTGTTATGAAAAATTAACAAAGTTAATTCTTAACTGACACAATGACAGAAAAAGGTTTTCGATTTTTCCCTTTTTTTCTCCTCAATAGAATACATTAAAAACATTTCTCTCCTTTCATGCCTAAGCTAAAGCTTGGATACCCTTTTCGTTCTCTGGGACAGAAACATATAGAAGCATTTGCAAATAAACTCCCTTCTTAGTAAAGACTAAATCTGAACATAATAACCTTAAAATTGGACACAAAAGTCTTATGGTCTCCGCAAAAGTATTCAAGTTTACTAACCGATGATTATTAGCATTTCAATTAGTGTATCGCTTTTTCCAACAATTTACTTTCACAGCCCTTTCAAACATAAATTTTTTATTGATGGTTACATCTGTAATGTTTTCCCTTCACCGGAACAATATCTGGCTCTGAAACTTTGTTGAATTATTCTGTTTGCGGATGTTTAACATTTTTTATGTTTTAATAAACTTTATATAATAAGGAAGACGAAGGGGAAGAAGACTAAAATATAATTGTGAGAACTATAAAAAAGTTATGTAATTGTTGAGAGAAAAAAAAAAAAATTTAATGTTTTCAGGGATTTTTCTTGTATTTGCGTTCATAAAAGTTGAAGTTTATGTTATCATCGTTCAGCATTATGAACTTATGAAAATATAACTATTAACATCCTTTATTTCACCAAATTTCAAATATAAATGTTACAATTAATTAATAACTTTAGTTTATGGTATCGCAGATTATTTAATGAAAAAGTGTACGAAGTGATATTTCCATTATATTTCATGACTTGTAAATATTTTCAGATAAATATTCAAGGAAGCTAAGTCAGTAAAGCCAGTCTTAAGGGATACACTTAAATGGTAATGAACGCTAATTGTTATCTGGGAAACAAATAATGAGAAATGACGAACATATTTTAAGTCGAGGAAGACAAACTTTAATTAATATCAAAAGTTTTACAAGTCACGAAAAATGTTTGGAGAGCTGTAAATATTTATTTATTTATTTCGGATTTATCTCTTATGCATAAAACTGAAATTGTACTTCAGAGAATTTAATTTGTAAATATAAACATGAAAACAAGCATCAAAAAGGCGTTTATTTTGTTGAAAATGCTAATGAAAAACAAATTTACGCAAATACACATCTATCCGACAGACAATTGAATCAAATGATCTTATTGATTTTCAGTCATAAGAAAATTGAGATTGTTGAGGTATGTAAATTAGTTTCAAACAAATTTTCGTTTCCACTTGTCATTAGCGAATTTCGGAGCGCAAAGGAAAATATAATGAGAAGTTCAATTCCTTAGTTCAAGTTTGATTAGCATTAAGCTTCTAAGATATTCGTGTATAATTCGTAGCAAAAAGGAATAAGAAAAGTCTATGGCGTTGTAAGATTCATTATGACAATCTTAGAATGAGATTTTAATAATGTCAGATATCTAATGCTTTGACGAAAAAAGAATCAATTAAGATGCAGAAAACCATCATCTTATTTTAAATAACTGAATGAACACGGTAAAGAAATATTACCATTCTCAATTTCTTTGATCTTATATTCAGTGGTTATACAATCTTCACTTAATGAGAAAAAAAATTCAGTGGAATTCAATGTTTTTTATAGTCACCCAGGCAATTCTCAATCACAAAATATTCCAGTCTTCTGACTTTCATTCCTTGCTGTTTCATAATCTTTTCATCATCTTCTTTTTCTGTTCAAATCTTATCATTATCGTATTATTGCATCAAACTTTTTTTTTCTTTCTTGTAATGGACTTTTTTTCTCATCGTGAATTGAGGATTTTTTTTGAAATCTCATCCTTCAAAAGGATCTACATCTGAAAAAGTTTCGGTGAAAAGGAAAAAAAAAATCTAACGTTGAATTTATAATCAGAGCTAATTAACTTTCAATTTAATTTCTGCTTTGACCATCATGGCGACCATAAGCATGAGAATCAAATTAGTTTTAATGTTCGGTAATTCTAATAATAAAGCTTGTTTGATGCAGTCATGTTAGCGTATCTAAGTATATTAAATGTCATCTAATATCCCATCTACAACATTATGCCTATGCTCATTATTTATGCTCACCATTAGTGATTGAAATATTTTTCATCTAAGTTATCGTTGAGGCATGAATGATTTTAGGAAACTAAAATATTTGTGCCTCCTTTACATGATGTTTTATACAAAACGATACATTTATACAAACCCACACAACAGCTACTATAATGATGAGCATTATGCATCAAAATTTCAGTAAATATTTATGATCATTTGCCGAAAATCTCGTGTATCGTATATAATGAACACATGGCTGCACTAATGTGAGTTGCCGAATCACAATTTAGCAACATGATTTTGTGTAAATTGATTTAATGGTTCTATTTTCGTTTGGAAATAAAAGGAAGTTACGACATGGTTCTTGTTTGTCCCTACTTTAAGCTTAATGATAGTAAATAATCTGTTATAACAATTGAATATTTAATATTATTCAAAAGCATAATGAAGGTTTTTTTCTTCTAATTTCTAATATGAAATTTTTTATTTCGACCATTGATTTGCCTTCAGGAAATTAAGTTCATTTCTTGTTTCAAACTTCAAACATGATTCATATTGCGTGGTTGCCTTTCACATGTATGCTAAATTCATATAAAACATGAATATACAGACAGATGAATTTACAATCTAAAAGGATGTAAAAGATTGTTTCGATAAAATTCGCTTTTATTTCATTCTTTTCTAACATCCGAACAAATAATCTATAGCCTTTAGCTGTCGCATGAAATATCTAAATAACTGCGTGTATTATTTTTAAGGGACAAAACCATGTCACTGCTGGTGGATATGTACCAAAAGAGCTCTTCTATTATTATATAACTCTAGAAGCGAATGTATTTGTACGGACAAATGCTGCAGACGGAAGATTATTCGAGGATTATTTGCTTCATCTATGAAAAAAAATTACTGCTCACGTAATCACAAACGATTCCGCATTAGAAGCGATCAAACATTGAATTTCTGACCATTTTCCAAATTGTTACTCTATTTATTTACCGAAATGTTTTTTTTCTTTAAGATATCTTTTCAAATGTAATTTCAAATAGCATTGTATCATAACAGTAGACGTTGATGACAGAAAATCTGAAGGAGTTTTGTCACTCTCTTAAAGTTAAGTCTTTCCGGGCAATTTTCACATGAACCCAAAGTTTGTCCATTGATTTGAAAGCCCATTGATTAAATATCGATTTGCGATAAAAGTTCACGGGAAAAAGGAAAGGAAGCTGGAAAAGTCATCTTGACGTGATGGATTTTTTTCCTTATCTATTCGGGCTTAGTGTCTAGTAAAAAAAGGAAGAGTGAAGGCTTTAGCGATTGATTTTCATGGGACAGCAATTTCTTCGATTTTTTTATTCTACATTCTTTCTACAATTCAATCTTCAGATTGATTTTTTCCCTTCTTTTGTCACTTGTTCAACTGAATCGTTTTGACATATTTTTGTTTCTTTTCTTAGACAACAATCGCACATGGAATTAGAATTCTCTCAGAAGGCCTTACTTTTTTTTACTTTGTGCTACAATTTTAGATCATTTTTCTCAGGATTTTGGCAGAGATTGGTTCTTTCAGAAGAAATAAATACTACGTAGAGAAAAAAATTATTGTACGAAATGAAGTTAAGTCAAAATTCTTGCAAGCGGCAGATGCCTGCTAATAGCGAAGGTTTACCATCACTCAAAAGGGATTTACAAAATGCCAAGTTGTTTCTGCAACAGAGAACGGCAAGTGGAGAATCATTATATGACCATCTTTCGAATGTCATTGCGAAGGTGGTCGATGAACGTCCTAAGGATGTATTAGAGTACTTTGAATTGTTTAGTCAACGTGTGCGTGAAGAAACATTTCGTACAAATGAAGGCAACATGTTGGAAAATAATTACAAGAAACCTGAACATCTCGTTACTGCGCTAAAACTTTTACCTACAATCATTGAAAAATCAGAACAACCGATTAAAGCCACCGTTGGTAATGATGATGAAACCCTCAAAAAATCGACAAAAGGCGATGAGGGCGATGTGATTTATTGTAAAAAGCTGTCGGAAGATTTATGCGAGTTACAGTTTTATTGGAATTTATTGGGCATTGGCTTCCCACGCGAAGAAGTTCTTAAGCTTTCGTGCTCGGTAGAAAAACTCAAGGCACATGCCGCAATTGCAAGCTGCCGTTTCTGGGGAAAAATGCTAGGATTGAAAAAGGATTACTATGTCGTTGAAACTACATTAACAAAAAGTGCTTTTAGCGATTGGATTGTGAGTTGCATTCCACAACACATGGAGGAAAAGGAATGTTTACGTGAATATTTACAATTCCATTCTGCTTTTTCATGCAAGACATTCCTTCCAGCTCTCCAATAAAAGACTAAATTTAATTTTCTCAATTTTCCTTTTTCACTTCCTTCTCTTTTATTCTCATTGAAGCAACAACATACATCGATTGAAAGCGAAATATTTAATACGAGCTTAATAGCAACTGAGAGTTTAGCTTCAGAATCCAACCCCATTCCACTTACAACAAGTGCAAGCATGATGATGAAAAAAGCTGATGACAAAGACAGTGTCAGTGATTTGCGAGATAAAATGAAAAGAATGCCAACTGAGTGGAAATTTTCATTGAAGAATTTTCCCGTGTCTCAATATCGACCCCATACAGCGAATTATGTCACAGAAAAAGAAATCGAGTATGGCGTCGATCGACATGTGTACTTTGTTTGTACTGATTTAGGTGATGACTGGATACCATTACCACAGGAAACATCACACCATATCAACATCTCCAGACAAATAAAAAAATATCTCACCGGGTATTTGGACTCATATCTGATATTGGATTCAGAATCTTACATATTAGAACGGAACTATTTAAGAGCTTTGATTGCGCGGATCTCTGCTGGAACTCACATTTCACCAAGAAACTTTTATAAATTTCAGTCAGACGACAATGAGAACTTCTTTGATGATCTAGATGATGATGATGATGATGATGATAATGATGCATCTTCAAGTGAGTTAGGTTTAATGCTTTTTTCTTTCACCTTGTTACGATGGCATTTCCATGACATTATGATCTCACTTCGAATGAGAGAAAGAGAAAAGTTCTATTATTTTCGAGATTTGAATTTAAGCTCAGCTCATCGAGAAATCCCATCAATTTTGCATCACATTGCATTTTAATGTTCCTATATTCCTTTTGTACTTACTTTACTTACTTTTTGTTCGCAGACAATGAAAAGCCGATTAAGGTGAACAGTGCATACCGTCCTTGGTCTATAAAGAAACTTTTACAATTGGATTATTGGCAGCATCATAAAGTACAGATTACTGAATACAGCAACAGCGGCTTCTTTTTGAAAAAAGGAAAGGTAACGGATGAGAATGATAGAAAGTTGGATGAAGAGAATAACGTCTCCAGGGATACCGACGATAAAGGCGACGACAATGACGACGACGATGGAAGGGAAATAGCAAACAATGGAATAAAACCGGAAACACCAATTCCTTTGTTCGCATCTTGTTCTGGTGACCAGTTGACAAATGATGCCATGTCTCCATGGACAATTAGATTGAGTGATGTTGTTGAGACGCTCGTTTCGGTTCAATCTCATGTTTGGCCCGGAGCTTTTGCATTTGTCAAAGATAGGTAATTTAATATCTTTATTTTTCCTTCTTTTCGTGCACGACATTACTACGTGATCTGCCCGAATGACAAATTTCAATCTTTCAAAAGAGAACTAGATATATGTTTTAAGACTCTTTGTTTTCCATCTTTATTGATGCAGTGAAAAAGAACAGGAAAAATCTAAAAGTTGTTTCAAACCTTGAAACGTTTTCATTTATTTTTCTTGTTAATTAAAAGGATTTGTGACAACATTTACATTGGTTACGGTCTAAAAAGCTCATCAACTAACGCAACACCACCGGCTATACCTAATGAGACCTTAGACAACAGAGAGGATTCATAAATCGAGGACAGATTTAAGTAACTACCTAAGAAACTCCTTATCAAACTGATACTTCAAATGAAAGAAAAAAAATACTTCACTCCAAAAAAGAAAATTCAATTGTTAAAAAAGTTATCGAAAGTCTCTAAGAAACTGTCACTTTCAATGATGCTTCCATTGAGTTGATGACAATTTTTCAATTTATTTTTCTTTTTTATTTCTCGCTGCTTCTTAACATCATAGCACTGTGAGCGAGATGAGATGCTTACGAGCGATTAAACATTTCGTTAATAAAATTCAATGGTCTCATGTACGTTTCTATGAACGTTTTCCTTCTTTCATCTCTCATCATTCTCATTTTTCTTCCTTTTTTGTCGTGCCCGTTTATTTTAGCTTTGGTTAAACGTCAAAAAGCTTTTCACATCATCATCAGAAAATGGCCGCATTATTCTATTCTGTTCCACCCAAATCTTTTAGATCATCTTCTAATTTTAATAAGTGGAGAAAGTTTTTTGTTCTTTTTTTTCACTTTTTTATTTCTTGCTTCTTTCTTCTACATCATAAAGTCATTTTCGCATGAAAGCAATGGTTGAATGTTTTTCTATGTCGATGTCGTGGAAAATCATTTTTCCGCTTTTGTTAAACATCGAAAAAAGAAGAATTATTAATGGAAATGTTTGCACGGAAGGAGGGTAGATAGAAATTGAATCAAACGTTTTTGACGGAGGGAGAAAAATATCATTAGCAAATTACACAGCTCACGATGCAAAGGTGTGTTCATTTTACTTTCGATGAGTTCAACAAAAAAAAAACGACGAATCGAAAAATTATCGAAATGAAAATTACTCACTCTACTCTAAATTCATCACAATTAGAATGTTTCATCTAATTGATTTGAAATCAATTTTAATATAAAGACATATCTTAAACTTCCTAATGAAGAGTAAAGACAGAAAATTCAATTTTTCCGCTATATTTTAATAATTATTTTAAATATCAAGTCATTCAAACATTTTCATTGAAGTCTTGTTAGTAATAGTTTTACCCGGAATATCTTTTTGAAGTGTAAAGCATGAGTCGTAAATTTTGCATTAAAATAAAAGTCTGAAAGTCACCGTTAAGTAGAATACCGCTGTCGTCAGCAGTACATAAAGTTTCGACAGCTTCCAACAATTTTTCCTTCGGAAAGGCGTTAAAGTGAAAAATAAAATGAGAAACAAATTAAAAATACATCACGAATTAATTTCAAGACGTAATTAAAAAGAAACGAAATCGAGGAAAGGCAAATGAAAATTAGAAGAATTGAGGAAGACAGAGGAAGGTTCTGTTTTTCTGTAGGACAAAAATGAAGTGAGGAAGGAAATACTATAGCAACGGAGACTTGATTTTTAACTTAATTGACAAAAATTCCTCCATGCTTTCGTTTCGCTTGAAATGAGTTTTCTCAAATATTATAATTTGAAAACATAACGGTGAATGTTTGAGTGATTTTACATTTTTTTATGTAAAGCAATAGAAAAAATGTACGCATTAAAGAATGTTAAATGTACACCTCGTTCCCATCGTTTTCATATTGGCAGGGCGTAATTATATGTTTGATGAAAGAGTTCGAAATAAGAGCTCGAACGTGATTGCGTTTCTTAATGCCTCCTTCTTCCGTCCTAATTTCTATTCAATTACTAGCTGGTGACTAGACGTGGACTCTTCAAACAAAGCTTTATTTTCAAACCTTACATATTTACACCTTTAGTTACCCTCAATGAACAGCATTGCGAAATGTACAAAATGAGATGGAGTGAAATATTTGCTAAATTGAAAACTTTTCTAATGAAACGAAAAATAAACTTTCTTCGTCTCAAATGCTGAAAAAGGAAAAAAGGTATATTATGGAAAGATGGATTGTAAATTGATGGGCGTCTTGTGCGAAAACGAGAAGCTTCGTGTAATTTCACTTTGTTAATTGAATTGTATAATGAATTTTGTTCGACGCTCTCACAGACTCTTTGCTTTAAATTTACTTTGCTTTTAAGTGTTCTTAAACTTTTAAAAACGAATTAAAATATTTGGCAACAGAGCAAAATGGAGACAAGGAGAATGACAGCAGTGAAGGCAATTTAATTTTAGAAAATTTTGAATTAATAATAATCGGTTGGAAGTCATGCGGTGTTTTATACCAAAATCCGACACAAAAAGATCATCAAAATTCCAATTAAATATTAATTAAAATTCTTGTTAACAACATCTTATGAAATATTTAATGAAAGCGATTACAAGTGATTTTGGTTCACTTTTTTTTCATATTTCTTCTCTTATTTTTTTTTCCTCTGTTTTTATCTATCTGGGCTTTCTATCGTGTTTATTTCATCACTGCTCGCAAATTTAATTAAGTCTATCGACTCAGGCCGACATGCTGAGATGACAACAAAAACTGGATTGTAATTTGATGATCTCCCATTTTATCTCTTTTAACTTTCAGAGCACTTCGCTTTGAAGTTACATGGGAATAAGATTTCAATAAGATATTAGAAAAAAAAACTTTCCAGACCTTAAAAACTTTGAAAAGCTGTTTCTCGCTAGACTTGCGACGAGCGAATAATCAACTTCGTAGAATGATAAATTGACGCTTAACATCAGCTGAAATTTAGGAATCTTTTCTCTTCCTTACTACACAGTCAGCAAATTTTTAAGGTTGTAGAGGTCATTGAAAATCTGTTTCAATATTCCCTTTACTGCTATACAAATTAATTTCCGGTCCAGACAATGTTCAAACTTCTGTTCGGTTTGAAAATATCATTAGTAAGGGAAAATTGAAAAGCTCTCCTAAGAGAGAATAAAATTCAAATCAAGATTCATAGGATTTAGTGAGCTTACAAGTGATGCATTGAAGTCACCAAGGACGTACTTTAAAACTCATCCATTCATGTAATTTATCAGATGAAGAAGCAAAATTGTTGTAGAATATTGTTAAATTTTCTGGTTTTTAAAGACTACTTCTTGAAACGTTATATCATCTCAATGAAAGCCTTATCCGTTCTTTAAATCAGCAATAAAAATAGAAAATTTTGAGTTAAAACGATATCAATTTCCCGAAGCAATTTAGAAAAATGCACAAATATTTTTACAAAAGTCAAGGATATTTGTTCTCATGCTTATCATAGTAATTTCAATCCACGAGGAAAAATATATGCTTGTAGTGAAAGCTCACCATACATCTTCTTAGATACTTAGTATCCAATTCGCAGCATGTAATAACGAAAAGTCATTAATCAAATGGAATTGACAAAAAAAAAAAAAGTTGTTTAATCAAACATGAGATGTTTCATTCCTTTACATCTCACCCTTTCATTCTAGAAGCATTCAAGGATTTCTTTGGGTCTCTTTTACAATTTTAGCGAGAAATTCGTAGCCTTCCACCTGGTCGTTAATAAAGTTTTTTTTTACTTCTCCTCCTGCCTTTTCGTTACGAAGGCAATATTTTTGCTATTCCATTTCATGTAAGAACGTAAATAGGAAAGGGAAAGAGTGACAAGAACGCCTCATATTTTATTAAAAAAATAGCAAGAGAAATAAGCGTTCACCTTATTAATGATATCCAAGGGGACTGTAAACGAGATCTTGCGATATTTCATCAAAAATCTTCACGTGAGAAGCTTAGGTTGATAAATTTTCTAAAAAGGTTAATAAGAAATTTTTAAAGCTTGAATCCCATCAAACCGTCATTCCCTTCGGAGTCATATTCTTTATTCGCCATCTCATCTTCACCTAGTATTTTTTTCTGTGATGATTTTTCCATCCTTTTCTTGCGTGACAAGAAATAAAAAGCCTTTACTTTGCCATTAGAAAATGTTTTTCACCTGCAGAATATTAAAATGAGTGAGGGGTAAAAGCAAGTAAACTTTAAACGTTATCAAATAAGCGAGAAAGCGAGATCTTTCCCGGTCATTTATGTCTTTATCGTTTGTCACTTGTTAATGTGTTTTCTCAAGTAATGCCATTGGGAAGGAAAATTTATGGCACAAAAATTCACAATGCTTGATGACGACATTATTCATAAACAGTTTTGTATTTTTGTATATTTTTTCGCTCTCTTATGCGCTGTCATTGCAAGCTCAAGATAAACTTTCATCTTTATATTCGTTTTCCTTTTTTCGAGGATATTCATAAGGAGAAAAAAATTCCTGGAAGCTGTTCGTGCATAAAATATTCGATGACAGGCAAGTATGAGCACAGCGATACAATGTCATAAGCCATAAATTGTGTATGCAACCGTTTTATTTTCAAATCGTTACCTCAACTGTTGACTTTAATGATGAGAAAGAATGTCTTTTGAGAGCTTTCAGGCTTAAATTTAAGCTAACAGGAATCTTAGAAAAAATTTAAAAAATGAAATGTTCAAACGATTTTTTAAAAAGATTATTTGTGTCGTGTTTGAAAGCAATAAAAAAAGCATTTATGTTTTATGCTTTATATATATGTTTTCAATTACGCATATTAATCCGTAATTAATTGAATTTGACAACTTACGGTAATGTTCTCTCATTTTAATCGCATTTCAGCCGTCGCATAGCATTGTGATAGAAAATTCTTTTAATCCTAACTCATGAATATACATTGTATACATAGAATGCCTATACATATGTACATGGATTAAAAGAGAAAACGTGGGAAAAACAGATGAAATAAAACATTAAGTTTCATTCCATTCTTTGAGAAAACGAGAAGTATAAAAGTAGGAAATTTTCTTTTAAATTAATTTACTTTTTGCTGTCCCAATTTTCCTTTTTCAAGAAATAAATCTAAAGGTTTTTTTTCACTTTCCTTAAAACAAAGACAGCATTGAGGCAAAAGAACAATAAAGCTTGATTTTCAAATGTAATTTCCCTGGTGGTAGAAAGAGATTTTGTTCCGAGAGTTTCGCCTCACGTCCTACAAACATGATGCAGAGTTGAAAAAAAATAAAGAAGAGAAATGGAAAAGTTGTAAAAACATTTTAAGGGTTGAGAGTCTTGCGCTTTTATGGGCACTGAGATTTGACCTTTTTTCGCTTGCACCATAAACACATTAAGGCATAACGCATCGCTGGTCGTCGTTTGCTCAGCTGCCGAAAAAAATGTTGTTTTTCCAGCCTTCGCATTTGTCGGATTCTTTTTTTGATAAAGGTCTGGTCAAATTAGACTGAGGCTTTCAATTATGAATAAGAAATATGTCGACTCACCAAAATATGCTCGCATCTGATTATTTAATAGCAGTTTTCGCAAAAAGGGGAATTAATGGTATGCCATGAATCATCATAAATATGAAATCTTATAATTTAATTAAAATTTTTGAGGAACTTTCCTGACTACGACGCTTCAAAGTAATCTTTTCACCGCGTAAAGCGTTAACAAATTCTTTATAAACATTTCACACCAGAGTGTAATCGAGTTGATTTATTGTCATCACATACAATGGAGGTAAATGACTCAAAAGGTGATATAAGCATACACATTTAATTGGAGAGAAAAATTAGGTTAAATTAATTATGATGTAAAGAAATTGCAAGATGAGAAAGTTTTTCTTCTGATAATCAATCAGTTCAATCAAATCAACAAGGATTTTCCATCAACTGGTTTCAAATACTTTAAATTGGGAAAACATGATTGTTTTAAGCGGCTTAAATCCTACCAAAACGAAACTTTTCGTCGCATTAAACAAATAATTGACGCTTGAAATCATTCGCTTATACTTACTAGCGATTCTTTGACATAACAGTTAGGCATTCAATATCCTGATCCTTTAAAATTCGAAGTGAATAAATCGTTGATGTGAAGAAGCCTTAAAAAGAAATTGAAGCTCTCTCGACGTCATCATCGATTTCCCCTAGGAAAAGATATTTCACTTTCCTGTCTGTGTGAAATGTAATTTGCATGGTAATGAGGTATTAGAATACAATCAACATGAGTGATTACAATTTCAACATCAATTTCTATCGATTTGATAGCGCGGAACGCGTGAAGGATTGCCTCCGATGAAACTGATGTGTCGACTCCCGTCTCATTGCCTTTTCTAGCGGGCTGACGGATAAATAAATGAGAAATAAAAATGTGTGCTGTGATATGTGCGTAAATAAATCTTTTATGAATAAATCAATGTGTATTTGCTCTTATATCATCAGATATAACGTTTCGTTTATGAAATTATTCTCTCTTCTTTTTATTTTGTTTTTTTTTCTCTGTTACTGGTGAATTTATTTATATTTTTTGTGATATTTTTCCGCGAATGTTTTCAATTGCCTAGTATTGTCTCACTTTGACATACGTTTCTATTCTTTTTATGTTGCCTCATATATTACAGCTACTGCTTGGTTTTTTGCTTAAAAGAAGGCATTAAAAAAATACTCTCGAAAGACATAAATATCTTCCCAGACTGATTCTACTTGAGAATTCGCATAGCTTTTGTACCCCGCACTTCAAAAAAAAGAACGTTCTCCTTTGGTCGAAATCTTGATAGTGAAATATGGGCTTGAAAAAGTTTTCGAAATAAATTAATCATAGACAAAATATATGATGAAAACTTTTTAATTTATTAGGTTTTCTCCTCGAAACTAGGAAAAAGATTATTTGAAAATAAAAACTAATTGGAATGTCGTCATTGAAAAATTGCTACCTAGATAAAAAATTGAAGAAATATTGAATGGAGACGAAATCTAAAATACTTTATCTTTGATAAAAACATAAATACTTATACCGTTACTTCAATGTTCGTTTACACTGTATAATAAAATATTATAATTAAGATATATATTTCAGCAGAAAAGTTGAAGATAGATTTATTTCAGCTATATACATAATTGGCCATATGAAAAGCACCTGTGCTAACGTTATATGAAGAAACATTTTGAGAGTTAAGAGCATAATGTAACTTTCATATCTACCAAAAAAAAACGATGATAAGAAGAAAATATGGACAGAATCAAACTTCTTCTTTGTGTTTGCAAAGATTTTCTATTTCATCACAAATAGCTCCGAAACTTTATTCAGTGATTCGGGGATATATAGAAGAATAAATGGGTTCCTATCTGACTGGTATTGATTTTACTCGCTCAGATGTGGGTGCTTCTAAATGATATTGATGTTATTCACATCAGTACATGTAATAGAGCCTATTCGCTTCGCTGCCTGAAAGTGCCACAAGCACAGACCAACCTACAATGCCTCAACAAATACATCTTATTTAATCATCAATGATCTATAATTTTGTTAATGATTTCATCTTAAGTAATCACACTCAGGTTTCTATAGTTTCATTGTTACGAAACTTTAATAATATCCCTACTGTTTACTTCAATCTAAAGTAAAATTAATAGCTTCTCGATTTTCATTCCACTGAAATCTTAATGATGGTTTCAAATCGCTGTGATCACAAATGAGCTATATTTGCTATAATTGCTACAAAACATTTTAAATCTACTTGATTTTATAAACTTTGTACATATTTACTTCGAAAGGAACCTTCTGAAAATCCTACTGGCCTTTTCAGATTTTACTTATAAAACGAGCAACATGGTATTCTGATGATAAGAAAGTTTTCATCGAAAATGTTTCTAACAACAATGTATGCATGTAACAAAATGTGTTTGGTTCAGCCCTTCACTACCTTTCTTTCAAATCTAAAGAATTTCATGATTCATCATAAAAGTTCTTTTTAATAGAAATCTACTACGAACTTTACAAAAGTTTCTTAAAGATTATAAGAATGGATTTTCAGACACGCTTATGGCATTTAAGATAAGGGAAAAGGAAAATCAAATTGCTTATTTATTTATTTGAAGAAAAGGGAACAATTTAAAATACGATATGCTGACAAGTGAGTGAAAAACAAAGAGTGCTGTAAGATGATTGAAATTTATTGCTCCACACAAGCTATTTTTTGGTTGAAGTTGAAGGGGAGTATTTGTTGTTTTAGAAGAAAAAATAAGTGTAATGTAGACTCTCCCTTTATGTTCTCGGAAATGAGAAGGGAAAGAAGTAAGAGCTGAAAAGGTTGTGTTGAAGTAACTGCTCTGAAATAATGAACTATTTGTTATTAGGTTCCCCTTTTATCGCAATCCCATCTTGTGTAGAGGCTTTTGTTGCTCTGAAAGCTCAACTGAAATAGAATAGCGTATTGTTCTTCAGTCTCACCCATTTTTTCTTTCACCCTACAAGGGCGTAACATCACTTGCCTTGCTACCCTTTTGTTTACTGCTCGGTTATTTATCGCTCCCGCTCGTTTCTGTTTATTTGCCAGTGCTATGGCGAAACGGTAAAAATCTCTTTGTCTTTCACAATAAATTAGGAGACCACAACGGCTGAACAATAAGTACTAATACTAAGCAGCTACATTTTGTCACTGCTTTACTCTCATGATTAGGTAATTTTGGCTCTTTCTATGGTGAGAAGTGAATTACTTTACCGGGACTTCAAGAAAGTGTAGAAAGGATACACATTTAAATTTCATGTTTGTGCAAAAAGCGACAGAATCATTAAATTTCAATTTTACGTGGGATATGAATAAAATGTAAGCATGTGCTTTTAATGTCATTCACCGAAGAGTGAAGCTCAGGCTACATCTAACGCTTAATTCCCCTCCTAACACGCTTCATTAAAACATGAGAATTTTCTCATGGTGGTGACAACGGAAAATCCTTTGAACGTGTGCATGAATGAAAGCAAATGCCTTCGTTTTTATTCTTAGATTGCGATCTGTAAAGGTTCACAGATGAAATCTGCTTTTCTTGCCTTTTATTTATTTTACTTATCCTTTTTTTTCACTATACAATTTATCGAAATAAATCATGGGCGAGAAAGTTTTTCCTTTATTGATTTTATTGGAGTTTGAAATCCTTTTTTATCTATAAGTCCAACAGAAGAGAATATCGACTGTTGAGGTTGTAGACAGTAGCTTAAGCTTTGCTAAATAATCTTGTCTTTCTTATTGGACACAATCAAGTTTTCAATTCACATTAACCCTCCTCAAATTTATAAGAAGAAATATTTCGAGTAAAATGAAGGAACAACAAACTGTTTCATCTTTAACAGCAATAAATTTTAGATTCACAGCCCCATCCTTTATTTTTATTTGCGACGCTAAAATATCCAAATCTCTTCTTTTTTTTATTTTGTAAACAAGAACAGAAGGAGAAGCAATTCGCATTAGCTTCCAATTTTTTCATTACGAGCCTTTTAAATAAATAAACATTTTTTTTTTCATCACCGCAACCACTGCTGAAACAAGAAGCGAGATGATAAGAAAAATATTAGAAACGTGCTTGGAATATTTTTAATTCCTATTAATAAAAGCACAATGGAGATGGAAAACGTTTTTTTCTTTGTAAGGACGGGGGTGTTCGTTGAATACAAACTTAAACGGTATTCAAAATTACTTGAAATCAATTTATGAAAATGGGAAAGCAACAGCAGAGAAATGCATTAAAGAATGAGAAATGTGGATTAGATTGAAAATCAATAATTATGAAGATTTGAACATTTTTCTTAGTAGCTGAGAAAGTATGAAACATTCAAAAGGGTTTGTTTTCAGGCAATTTTGCTGTGAAATACTTCAAACCCTTTCATTTTGCTTATTTCCTTTTTTTTGGATGAAAGCTGAGTACTTAATATGATTAGAAATGAATGAGAATTTGAATTTTGCTTACGGAGAATTTTCTCTATCGATCAACTTTTAATTGTTTGCACAGTCAAGTGCAAGCGATGTAAGAAAGCTTTCCATAAAACGATTAGAATTGATTTTTATTGAATTTCAGCCTAAAGAGAAATTAATGTTATGATGAAAGTTTGCATGACAAGCATCATTATAAAGATTTTCTCATTCCAAAATTTAATTTTGAATGGGATCCGATGAAACATCCTGGAAATGGGAAAAAAATCTTGAATCAGCAACAGACACGAAAATTTGAATCATTTTCATTTTTTCATTTCATTTCATTAAGCCATTTCCGATGATCATCAATAGATTCATCTCAAGATTTGATGGTCTTGTAGAGAACTTTATTAAAAATCTTAGGGTTAGGAATTGATAATAATGCTATTTTCATATGAATTTTATTTTCAATATCATTGATTTCTACCAAATTCTTATTCTAATTCCAATTCCGACCCCTGAATCAAAAGCCATTAAATATCAAATTTCGATACAACATGTAATAAATAAAAAATAAAGAAATATTTAGGAATGATATACCTACTATGATGTTCTGATGTTATGACCACAAATGATAATCAACTAATGGTTGTATTGTCTTCATTCTTTTTTTATTGTGGTATCATAGTAATTTTATTAAATTAAACTAACAGTTGTTAATACTATTCAGATAATCCACTCAAAGAGAAAAAAGGAACTCCCATATAATCGCATCAAAACTCGACACACCCCAAAAAATTCAGGAATGTGATGAGTTATAATCCCTAAACATGAAAACGAAAATCTAACAGAAAAGGAAATTCCTGAGTTTTCTCAAAAGAAATATTCGCGTTATTGCTAACCTAAGTAAGAAGGATTGCCAAACTAATGAAATATTTTCGTGGGCGTATTCAACGTATCTACACATATTAAAAAATAAACCTTTCCCCAAATAAAACCAAATCGTTCTGATCCCTTGGGACCCAAACTCTATTTTATCTTCAAATTCCAATCGCTTCTGTAATTATTATAAAATAAACTTTTTAACAAATTATTTACTTTTGGTTTATCGTTAAATTAATTGTCGTTCCTTTAAAAGTTCAAAAATATGTAGTTATAGAAAGTGTTAAGTATTGGTTTAAACTTAAAACTTCGCAGTCGAAGTGGGAAAATCGATAAAAAGTCAGCTTCCCAAGAAAGCAGCAAATTTTCCCACAAGCCACAGAAAATGATATATGATGCTTCTGTTTCGCTTATCATTTTCTCTGTCGCTCCTCAAATATTTATTTATGACATACATTTTATATTTTTTTTATTAATAACTTTTTGTCGCCTGTTCATGAAAATGAATGAAAGAATAAAGAAAGAAAGTATATGGCAAAGGAGAGTGAACTTCATCTTATTTTCCTCGCGAAGGCTAATCATCGCAAGATATGTTTGTGTCTGTCTTCAGAGAAATAATATCAAGTTGATATTTTTCAGTATGACACATTGTTTTTCTCATTATTATTTCCACGGGTAGATTTATGAAATAACTCGACTGTAATGGATTTTCTCGAAAGAAGTCTAGGGTAAAGTTATATCAATAAACTTCCGAAACAAAATCTGTATAACCGTTGCTAAGTTTTCAAAAAATAAATCAAATTTTGTGTAAAAAAATACCTCTTGTAGTAGAGATGAGTTCTTTGACTTTCTAAGTAAGAGAAAAAAAACAAAATTTTGAATGCAGTACGAGTCTGTGTGTATAAATATTTTGATATAATCTTGTGCTTTTGTTTTAAACAAACTTCTTTTATTTTATCTCGATTGGAATGGCGAAGAAAATTTTTTCTTCCATCTGCTTGTCCACTGTTTGTACATACATATGGTTTTTAAATGGATTCTTGGAATTTAGTGGAAAGTTGCCAAAATTATAAATAAACAAACGGAAAGCGCACTGCAAAAACTGCCGATAAATATAGTTTATTGCAGTTATGACGTTGAAAATATGTATTGAAAGCTTGTTCCTGTGGTATTGTTCTGATTAAATTATCGGGTGAAGTAACATGACAGCCATCAAGAACTTACTAGATTGGATAGGCTACAAGACGAAATAATAATTTTTTTACTTTTCAAACATATCTAATCAACTAGATTTGTGATAAATTTTTTTTCACAATTTTTCGGATATTGTTTTTCCGTATGTGTTCATCGTCTTATCGTTGAAAAAACACTGTCTCGACATTAATCCATGTTTATTTAGGTTGCACTTAAGTGAAGGTGAAAACCTCATTTCAACCGTCTTGTTTTTCATTACCAGTGTTGTCTAAATAAATAAAGAATTCAAAGATTTCCTCAAAAGATTTCTTTTGTGAAATTCATGATGCTCGTTTTATTTGAGAATGTTATTCTAACACAGACGTTTTTCGCCCTCACCTTTCTATAATATTTCAATACAACAAACATCGTTTTAGAATTTCTAATTTTATTTCATTTTTCCATGTATTTTCTTACAAAAATATGTATTATCATGAAAAGTGTGATGCACATATATTTACTTATGGGCTTTCAAGGTTTTTAACAAACCTTTTTTCATGAACATATTTTTCAAACTCATGTATGTCTCAAACGTGAAATCTGTTTGGGTTTCATTCACTCTTTTTTCAAACAAACAAAACATTGAATAAAATCTATAAACAAACAGTGAATATACATATTTCGATAAAATATTCGATAAATTCTACAATGGCGGATGATATTGGGAGGAGCAATTTGTGGAATTGAATGCAATGTGAAGCCATCTCCTGATGATATGATTGAATTTCTTTTTTAAAGCTCTCACAGAAACATACAACAAGTTTATATAAAAAATTAACAAATCAACAATTCAAAATTCTTCGCCCTTTAATCTGAAAAACTTTTCGAGTGTTCTCTAGATGAAATAAAATTAATATTCACTTAAATAACTTGTGATCATTTATCTCACTCCTTAATAAGCTAAATATGGATAGGAAAAAGTAATCTAAGAACATCGTGCATAATCAATTATATTTTAGTCATGTTATTGACATTTAAAAACGTCTCAAGAGCTCACTCCTTATATTTATGCTAGAGAAAGAAATTGGGAATTGATTGAATACTGAACATGTACTTAAACTCTGTCACAGACTACGTAACTGTTGTTGTTTCATTTCTTTCATCACTCGTTTATCAGGATGTCGTTTTATTTCTTGTATTCGTGCTTTATCACTTTTCTATTCTTTTTATATTGCTACCACACTAACTCTACACATCAGTGAAATGATTAGATATGCTATCATAGAAGAAATCTGTCTGTTTCATCATTTGATAAACATGCGAAATAAACGAATCTATTTATGTATGACTGGAAGTGATTTGATTTCCTCACAGAATTCGAAAGAAATGATAATTTTATTACATTCTGTCATATCTTCGAATCGAAAATCAAGATGAAAGTAAGATATTTACTTGGATATTTATATTTGTTCTCGAACCACAATTTTCATCGTTTACTTATTTCTACTCCAACCAAAAGCAATGTTTCATAATAAAATTCCTGTGGTTGATTATCTCGTCTGTAGATGAAAAATCCTTGACAAATTAACAAGAGATGGAAGCATTTAATAAATCATAAAATTTTCATGAACATTAAATCGCAAGATAATATTAGATTGCTTGTAACAATAAACATGGTAATTTTGGTTTCGCCCTGTCGAATAAACATTTACATGTGAACAAAAAAAATAATCATGTTCCTAATTTTTTTCTAAAACATATACTCAAATTATAATATGTTTAAATCATTTTTTCCGAAAGCACAACCAAGAAATTTTACGTAAAAGCTTCGCCCTTAGGTGCGGGATGTGGATATACCACATACATTAAACATATGAACCCACTTTCCAACATCATTCCTCAATCACTTCTTCTCCTCTCCATTATCAGCATCTTCCTCATAGACTCTATTACTGAGAGCAAAATAATGTTATTTTTTCCTTTTCACTGCCGGGTTGCTTGCTCTACATTTTTCTACCTGTTAGCACACACGTACACACAAGAACATTAGATTGCCGAAATAATGTTAAAACACTTTTCCTTTGATTTTCTCCTTGAGCGAAAAATTTCTTCTTTCCTTAATCCAAAATTTTATAAATCAAAAGGATTTGTTGTATATTTACATGCGAGTATTGCTGATTGAAACATCTAATTTGAAAATTCGATTCAATTTTGCTCAAAAAAGAATAAATCAAAAATAAAGTTAATCTTACTAATGGATTAGATAAAAATAGATTTTTTAAATTAAAATTTAAGATGGGACTTTGGATTTTATTCTACTGAATAATATAGGTAATCACAGGAAACGCCTGAAAGTTCAACTCATGAAAAATGTTTTATTTTCCCTTAGTCTTGGGATTCCGTGATACATTAATATAATGAGGAATCATTTATTTTATGATGACGGTCAGTATTCTGTTCTCGGGAAAGGTATTGGCGACAACGGTAGCGGAAACGGTAACGATATCAAAAAGGTACGCAATAATTTATTTATTCTTCATTTTATTTTCCAAAATGAAAAAATATTTCATTGCTAATTAAACGATGTTTGAAATTCACTTTGTTTTATGGCTCCATTTATTTAACTCTCTCGGCCTATTAATTTAGTATGTGTGTATTAACTTTAACTAAAGTACTCGAAAAAAAATTCATGAAAATACTGATCTTGCTGCAATGAAGTTTTAGCAAACATGATGTAACATCGTTGTAAGAAAATTGAGAAAATTTCATATTCAGATTGTGAATTCTCCATGCAACAAACCGACACTAAAGCTGATGAATATTCAGAAGTAGGTACTATAACTTGGCAAGTGAAAAGCTTTTTTGTGATGTTTTATTATGCAAGTCAAAGTAAAATTTCTGTACTTTCATTTAAATGGATTCGCTCCTTCAGTTTTCATTAATTAGCTTTGGCATTATTATATATAACAGTCATCCATTAAAAATTTATCCTGAAATAAGAACTGTGCTGATTTTTTATAAAAGTTTTTGAAATTTTTAACAGAACAAAAACAATGTTTTCTTTATATTCGGAACATTTTCCTCAATTTATTATTTCCCATTTTTCTTTTTTTTTCCTAATTTATTTTTGTTACTTTTCCGGAAAGAATTATTAGTCTAGGTGAACCTGTACACAATACAAAATGATTTTTGACTTTTCCTTTTATTTTTTTGCTTCAATAATAATTTCATAAATCCATAAAAAGCTTTATCAATTGTGTAGATATTAAGTAAACAAAAATGCTTCAAATATATTTTAATTAATCAGAACATTTTTCTGGCAGATCTTCTGTCATGATACGAATAAATAAATTTTTCTTTTCTGTTTTCTTCCCTTAATTTCATGTCAGAACAAGTTTTGCTGACAGAAGATCTGTAATCGATTAGAAAAGTCTCTGCTAAGTATTAATCTTTTATTCAGAACCACCAACAATTGTTTGACGTTCAGATAAAAGCACCAGACAGAAAATCACTGAGAAATCAAAACTTTTTTTGAGTTTGAAAACGCTGAAATTGAAATAAAGTTAGCTTTATCTTGATCAAGGTTATCGTCTTTCATTATGTAGGTAGTCTGATGATTATATGTACATAATTTTTGGCTCTTAATTGCAAGATTTATTTATAAATAAAGTCAGAGAGTTCTTGTTACATGGTTTATGGATTCTCTCTTTCGCATCTCTCCGAATTTCCTCTGTATAAATAAGAAAGTGTCTATGGGGGTGTGGGAGGTTTGCAGTATTTGTAGCGATGTTTACTTCTTTCAAAATGATCCATTGTTCTTGGCCAACGCTTTTAATCAGATTTTTTTAATTACAAAAAAAAGTTTCTTTTACTACTTTTTTCCATTAAAAGAAAAGTTAGATTTGGTACAATTTTCTTTTGATTTTTTTAATTTTCATTTAATTTCTTTTTAAGCTTTTCTTTATTTTGACTTTTCACCCTACATATATTCAACTAAACATTGTGTATAATTTATAGCATTTTTTGCTAGAGATGAAGAAGTGGAAATGGTCGCTATGTAGAGATTTTTTTACTACGTTTACATTATTTAGGTAGTTGTTTACTTATTTCATCGTAAATGATGTGAAAAATTGTCCCTAATTTTCATTTACTCTCTGAAGCTTTCGATTTTCGTCAAGAATAATGTTTTTTTTTCGAAATAAGATGTTTTTGGAAGCTCTCTTACTTATTTAAAATTATAATAAAAACAAAAACATTGAATATTCATCAGTACAGAGTTATATCAACTATCTAACAACTGTGAACAGATTTTTATTCCATTATCCATATTTTAAGAAGTTTTCTTTAACAATTTTCCAAAGTTGTCTTTACATATTTTGTAACAAATTAATAAATATAAAAGCTTCTGTTTTTTTATATTACCTTAGGTATATAACGTTTTCAATAATTTGGAAAACTTCTTTTTTCTTAGCTTTATGTCTAACATAAAAGATGATGAAATTGAAACAATTTCAAAGTAAATTTTTCCCTCATTTTGGGTTTTCCTTTCAGTGAAAACAATTTAAAATAAAAAGCAAGGTCAAAGAGAAGTTTTTATTCTTTATAATGACGATGATGATGCTTTATGTACATCATGGATTTTCATAAAGTTTGTAACATTTTCTTGCATGATGTTTAATGGTTTCATGGAATATTCAAAGAATTTTCTTTATGAAAAAGATGGAAAAAAACTTTTGAATATCCAGAGAATAATTTGAGAACCCAGTTTCGTTCATAAAAATAATTCGCTTACGACACGAGATGTAAAGCCACGGCCCTTTGATACCAAAGATCGTGAGTCTAGTCCTCCGCATTCCTGATGATGTTGCAACAAATTATTTTTATGAGAGCAATTAAGACGAATTTATGGCACACAATTATCTTCTGCTTTCAAGTTGCCTTCTTTAGTGAAGCATGCTCGGTCTTCGCATATCGGTTGGCTCCTAAATTTTCATGAGAGCTCAAAAAGGAAAATTCCTTTCCTTCCTTTTAAAAAAATTGTATAATGAGATTTTTGTTCACTTCCTCCAAGTATTTTTAATTATTTTTAATCCATTCTTAATTCCTTTTTATGGTTAGAAAAATTACACACTTTTGTACTCGTTCTCATCTCCAAATGTTTTTCTTTCTTTCTTTTTCTTTTTTTTTAAATTCTCTTAATGCGGGTTTATAAAAAAGGAAAAGCTTAGTCACGAATACGAATTGGGATGAAAATAAAAACATTTCTAAAGTGAAACGAAATCGTTTGGCATCAGTAAAGCTGCTGATGGTGCTTGATTCTTTGGAGGAGGTGGAGGTGATAATTGTTCTGGTGGTGACTGATTATGATGATATGATGCTGATGTGAAATGATGATTCGTTACTTGCTGATCCCTTTCTGTCGAATTTTGAGTTCTTGATTCTGATGGATGACTTGATGTCTCACCATCATCATCAACATCATCTTCAAGTTCTTCATCAGGAATAGATAGAATACTGTTACCCGATGCTGTTACTCTTAATCCCATATTATCATTTTTCAAACTGCATGAAATACATTTGGTGCTTATGTCACTATTACTTCCGCTTCTTCTCAAATCACCCGTCGTCGACCCACTATCGTCACTTTCTAATGACGTCACTTTTTTATCATAATTTTTCTTCGTTTGCTTTAATATTGACACAGGTGCCTTCATTAAGGACGAATTTAAAAGCTTGTTTCTTGGCAACGTTGCATAGGACTCAATGTTGATGGGAACGATTTGAGATGTTGATATAGCTGGAGGAGGGGGCGTTGAACACAATGAGGATGTTTGCGATGAAATATTATTCGTTGTGCAAGAATTTTTTAATCGATTTGGGACGATATTTAATAAATCTGGGTACATGTTCAAGTCGCTTTCCAATGGGTCTTGTGTTAACGAGACAGAGATGAAAATATTTCCAAATGGTGGTTTGTTTGTGGTCAACGGTAAATGTTGATTGTTGTGCCTCAGGTGGTGATTGTTATTATGCTGCTGGTATAATTGACCATTTGTTGATGACGGTAGTGCTCCTGAAGTCGTTGTCATCATCGTAGACTGCGACGTTGATGTGCAAAATTCAGGTGGAGGTGGTGGAAATAGACTTATGTTTAATGGAAACTCGTCTCCCACTCTACGATGATGTTGCAAATGATGCTGTAAATTGTGAGGATGATGGAAGTTCTCGATGGTTATTTGTACAGGCTCTAAAGCTATTATCGATGAATCTGTTTTGTTGTTTGCCATAGCTGATGATGGTGTATTCAGAATTTCACTATATTCTCTGTCACGATCGTTGGTGGTGGTAATACTCAGATCTAATAACTTTTTCTCTTGGTCATTAAAGCTTACGCTTCTATTAATATTCTTTTTTGTTCGCCTTCGCGTCGTTAATTTACGACATACGCAAAATATAAAAGATATCAACATAAATGATCCAATCGTTCCAAAAATTCCCATTATGAGACCAAAGTACCAGAAAGTGTCAGAATTTTTTATAAGCACATGGTCAACGACTTCGGGTAATATTAGGCTGATATTTTGACTAGCAAAGCCTAAATCATTACGAGCAAAGCATGTATAAAATCCAGCATTTAAAGTTGTTACATTGTAAATTGATAAATTACTCCATATTTTACCATTTATAGGCTGTTGATCGATGGAAAGTGATGAAACTTGTGCTTGAGAATCATCCTTATCAATAACAACATTTTCATTATCGACTTCTTTGTCGTCTAATCGCCAACTTATTGTCGGGCGTGGATCGCCCGTTGCAAAGCAGTTGAACGTAATATTCGACTCTAAATCACTCGTCTGTAAATCCTCCTTCAATATTTTCAATGTTGGAGCACAGCCAAAGGCATCTTCATGTATATTTTCCCAATGTTGGTCTATTAGACTAAACGGCGACTTACATAGTAGACTTATCCTATTGAGATTGTTCTCCACATACCAATTACGAAACTTTTTCAATTTACAATCACATTGCCAAGGATTATCATCGATGAGTAGAGTTTTCAAATTCTTCATATGGGTAAAGACATTACCCGGAAGAGTTCGTAGGGAGTTTTGTTTTAAATTCAAATATTCTAATAAATCAATGTTTGAAAATGATGTTTCATCGATACTGCTTATTTCGCAGTTGTGCAAGTCAATGGTTCTTAAGTAGGGCAGTACCGGAAACTGGTCTGCTATAAGAATTTTAATTGGATTGCTGTACAAGTATAATATCCTAAGTCTATCGTTGCCAGAAAAAGTTTGTTTATCCAGCTGCTCAATTAAATTCTCACTTAAATCCAACTCAACAAGAATCTTCAGGTTCTTAAATGTTTCTCTGTGCAAATATTTGATATTGGACTTTTTCAAGTAAATTTTCTGTAGATTAATTAGTCCGAGCGTTGTAAACTCTTCCCGGTTAAGGGTCTGCAGATTATTTTCATTCAACATTAGCACTTGAACTTCCGTTGATAGATTGCTAGGTATTTGAGTGAGACTAAGTGCATTGCACAAAGCTGACTTCTTTCCATTAATCCATTTACAATGGCAGCTTGTGGAACAATTTAATGTCCAATCGACGCAATTGATGCTTTTTGTTACACAGAGGACTGCAAAAACTGCAAATAGAAAAAATGGAAAAACACATGTCGTGAATAAACAATTGATCCAATTAACTCTCAGTCACGTCGTTCTCTTTACGAATGAAATGAAAGAAATAAAATTCAAATTCGATACTCGTGCAGGAAGAAGTGAAAAACTCAAAAAGTGTAAATATAACAAAACATTGAGAAAAAGAATAATAATAAGAAAAAGAAAAGAAAAAGATGAAAAAAAAGCAAATAATGTTGAGCAACGAAACAAAAAGTTATGTCAATTGCTTTATCATCATTTCATTGTTGTTCTTTCTTCTACCAGATTTCTCTTTTCTGTTTGAAAATCTCAAAACATTTTCCTCAACAATTAAAGTGAATAGAATTTTCTTCTTTCTATTTTCCTTCATTCGTTTGTTCATTCGTCTATTTAATTCACAAAAGATGTTGGTTGAGATCGAGGAAAAAAGAAAAACGAAAATCCTTGGGAATTTAAGAGAAGGAAAGTCCAAAAGAAGGAAGAAAAACCAAAGAATATCTATTTGCGCCAAACTATTGCGAAACATAACAGCGAGACAGAAATCTTTTCTCATTTTCGCTATACTTTTCTCGAGATCCTTCTCATAGTCTTTATCAACATTAAAGTTTTTCTGAGTTCAAAATAAATTTATTCAGTTTTTTTCCTTTTCAGCCTCCTATCTATCTGTTTTTGTACCCTTTTGCTCTTTCCATTGAATTTTCTCTCCCTCTATAAGCTCTCGAAGTAAAAGCAACGTTTCTCGTCTGTCGCACTTTAGTGGTTACATGTTTAAGTTGTCATGAAAGCAAAAGATGATGCTCAAGTGAAGGAAAGAGAAGAAGTTTTTAGAGATGGAAGATTGCCGACTATTTATCTAGTGATATTTACATAAAGTTTATTATTTATTTATATTTGCTTTTTCTATTCTTTTTTCATCCCTCAACTGACTATAACCTAAACTTTTATGATACGAGTTTTTGCTCTCAAATACTAAGTTCATATTTCCATATAATTATTTAACTGCTTCATATAAGTATATAAATAAATACATAAACATTTCAAACATGTCATGGCAGTTGAAAATAAAATATTCATGAACGGCATTTAAAGTATACATGACAGTGTGTTGTTTGTCATATCACACTCTCTTTTGCTGCAAAGCAAGTGGATGTGCTTTTTCTTTGAGTTTGAATTGCCAGCGACTTCCATGAAAGATGAAAACAGATTCATGGGAAAATATGATTGCGTTGAGAGGAAAATTTATGCCTTGTGAAAGTTGAGTTTATGTTTGCTTTAAATGGCAGCTGAGGGTAGAAAGAAAATGTTTTTACATCTTTTTATAAGTATCTCGATTTAGAGAGAATATGCGTAATTTAATCTAACATAAATTTATATCTCATGTGCTTTTTTTTTTTCTTCTAGACTAACGTGCATACTGAGCCTCGTAACAATGTTACATGTAGAGATATGTTTAATGTCCTTATAATGGGGAAATATTATAACTTCAGCTTTTTCACTTGTTCTAAAATTTTCCTTACGTCTTCCCATGGGCGTTTCCTGAATAAAATGTTGAGGAATCTTCAGAAAATTTCAAAGTTAAAACGATGATGAAGCAAATCGATACTCCCAAAGTGTTACTTCTTCACATGTGTGAATAATGCTTAAATTTTTCATTTTGTCACGTCAAAATCCTAGCGCAAAAATCTTTTCATGTTAAGGTCTCAAGTTGGGATAATGTTTTGAGGTTGTGAAAAGACTAAATAACAAGTTATCCTTCGAAGTTTTCGGGTCGCTTGACCTTTCTTATTAAAATAAAGGCTTAACTTTATTACTTATCAGCTTAAATTGCGTTTTCTTATAGATAATAATTTATCCCAGTGATTTCACGGAATTACTCAGACATGAAAGGTCTTAGAAACTCGTTTCATGTCCCATGGTTTCGAACGAACTTAAAGTGATTTGTGAGTTATCAGCGTTAAATTAAAATTATTCTCTCAAGTCATAAATGTTGTTGCTTCTGCGGTTCCACAATATTTTTTTGAATTTCTCTCTCCCTTTTTCAACTCGTCGCGGATGTAGGAATTCAGGGAATTCATTCTCGAATTATTTTATTTTCTCGCTTGAAAAACTTTCTCTGTGATTTTACTGTTGTAGAAGGAAGTTTTATTGAAATATTTATTACTTAGCTTCAAGAAAGTTCGCTAAAAAATTTATATTCATGAATCATGGCACTCATGGGAACCTTTCATCTTATGAAGGTCAGCTACATGTTTTATATGTATTTTTTCAGAAAGATAACTTAATGTCATTGTTAGCATAAAAATTTTATGCGGTAAAAAATAAATAAAGATAAAAACGTCAAAATTCATAAAACAAAACTCAAGAATACTTTAAATGTTGAATAGAAAGATAACTCTAGGATGGTTACTGCTGACTTACCTATTAGCACATTGTAAACGCACATTTTAGGAGCATATTTTCTTTAAAGGATAGTTTTTGCTGTTGTTTAACTTTCCAAAATTACAAGGTACAATTATTTCAGAATGAATGTAAGTTTTAATTATGCATATCCCTCTCTGGTAATTTGTTGTTTTTTTTTATTCTTTTTCTCTTATTTTTTTAACTTCATGTTTCTTTTTTGTTTTCTGGTGTGATGCAAATGCAGATGCATTTTAAATAACACTTGTCTGCTATGTATCCTGACTTTTGCTTTTGTGATGTTTTTAAATAAACTTTTTTTCTTTCTTTTGTCAACTGTTCACTGCTATCAGTAATATTTTCCACAATGGTATTTCATCGCGCGCACAACGACAAATCTACAAATATTTAAATTCATGCATTCACTTTTTTTTCGACGTTTTCCTTTCCATTTTACACTTGTTTATCTAACCGTATACAAAAACGGTATATTTAAAGCATGGTGTGAAGAAGAAAAGATATCCTTTCTACTCTTAATTCTTTTGTTGCTTGCTAACTCTGTCGCATCTGTAAGGAAAAAAAAGCAAGGGAAAAGTTAGTGAAAACAATTATCCCATTGAAGCTATTGCGAAAAATAATAAATTTGCGGGTAAGTTTTATAATCAAGAAAACTCGTTTCATGTTCTTCTTCTTTCGCTAGATATTTAAGCTTTTTAAAGAAAGAAAACATGTAAAATAATTAGGTGAATTATAAATTGAGGAATTAATTAAAATTCTACGCTAACATAATATTTCTCCCTTTTTTATATTCTAAAGAGGTTGCCAAAGTGTTTTAAAAGAAGCCTTGAACTTTGAGAGTTAAATTGACCCTCAACACTGTAATGTAATTAATATTATTATGCGGATCTAAAACTTTAGTAAGTATCCACCATAAAATATTGAAACGGAAATCTTGAAAATTACTTCCTTTATTTTCGAAGCTTAATTGATTAAATAATTTTTGATTTATAAATAATTAATTGGAATTGATGAATGTAGTAATTCTGAAAAGTTAAAAAAGTTAGAGCTTAATTTAAAGAAGGGTTATCAAAATGTAAATATTCTTAAGCTTCCTGATATTTCACTGAAAACCTTCTTAGATATTTCAAGCAGCTGCCTGACAAGCCAGATGAGATAAGCATTAAAAATTAACGAAATATTTGTCGAAAAATATTTTAAAACTTATACAGCTACGAGAAAGAGATCAGCCCTTGAGATAATTTTACAGTTTAAAATTTCGTGAATTATTCCTTCTGTTCCATAAAGGTACCATACTTATGTTCGTGATTTTACAAAACGAAAAGTTGAAAATTTTCCCTTGCCAATATATATTTTTGTTCTTGTATTTTGAAAGTAGAAAAGTTTTCTAAAGCTCATACAAACATCATCTAATTTCATTATGCATTGTTTTATGACTTAATTGTATTAGAATATCAAGAAAACTTTGTTAATAACAAGGAAAACTCTTCAACTTTTTCTTTGTTTTCCTTTTCGTATAAAAACACAGAATTCTTTCCGCCACTGCTTTTCTTTACGGAAACAAATCAAAAATAGCAAACAAAAAAAGTTTCAATTCGTTTCTAACATGATTTCAATTCTTTTTCTTCTTACGAAGTCAAATGGAAAACTGTAAAATCATTGGAATGCTCTAGAGCATGGCTTAAATTAAACCGAAAACCCCTAATTAAATTTGAATGATTCACAGCAATCTGGCAACTGTTTTGTTCAAAAAATCTCGGTTTGTGTTAATTTTCCGCCTGAAAACTTCACCACAAGCTTTTAATTCATTTCAAGTCTGGATAGACATATCTACTCACGTTATATAATTTATAAGCTATTTATTTAAAATTCTATGTTAAAATTTCAAATGCAAGATTTGTAAGAATAATATTCGAAAGTTAAGTTCTTTCACTTCATACAGAAAAAATGTAACACTTTTCAAAAGTTTGAATATGTTTTATGAATTTAAGAGACTACAGATTTAACTTTAAAACTTTTTCTGAAATAACTTGACAGTACGATGATATTACTCATATGAAATATATTTTCCATTACGGAGTTTCTACGTAACCTTCCAAACCAAACGTCAAGTTTCAATAAGTGAATTTTAAAAATTAATTGGATTCAGATTTTTTTCAATAGGAACTTTGCAGCATGAATACAACTCGAGAGAATTTCATTCTTTTGAAATGTACTTCCATCGTCATGAATTGAAATAAACACACACATCGTGTATGTGAATGTTTCTCTATGTAATTGTACAAGGAAGACACTTCATTTAACTTAAAATGGAAAAATATATTGTCAACCTATGGACTTGAACATATTTTATACTTTTGATTCATTGAGAGTTCATACAAAGTTACGGCTGAGAAGTCTATAAACTCAATGAACTAAAGGAGTGGCGACTATGAATTACTTTATTCAACCCCTGAGAGAATATCTAACAAAACTTTTTTTTCCGAAATGTCCCCATAGTTGTGTATCTAAATGCATATTATGTTTACTTTATTATTTAAAATTAAAGATGATAAATATACGTGATGAGACCAAAATCTGTGTAAATAGTATTAAAGTGAACGTAAGTAATTATCCCAGGATAATTTATAAATGCAAAGCTTATACAAAAGAAGTTGTCAAAGTTTTCCATTTTTACTTCTTTTTCTGCTTCATACTTTAAGTCTTTATTACCAAAGGGTTTTCTTTGTTATTTTTTTATTGCAATTACGGTTTTTTTATTAGCAACATAAGTATAATCTTCAGAAAATCAACAGGCAACCATAAACATTTAAAATGTCTTGATAAGGTAAAACAAAACAGATGAATATTTTATCGTAATTAAATTTTTATAGTCGTAAAAAAAGCTCTTTAAATTTATTGATTGCACAATGATAAAAAGTATAAAGCAGATTTTTAACAAAGATAGGCAACATAGATATTTTTTAAGCTTATCTAGGAATGTATAAACGTTCTACCGAAAAAGTAAGGAAAACTAACAGCTGCCAAAATTGGAAATTGAACTGTGTCCATTAATTATTGTGGGTTCGATTGAAATGTCTCTAAATCGCAAATATTTATTGCATAAAACGACGATAGATAATAAAACTGCTCTGCAATTTCAATAAATCAGAGTATTATAAATTATGTAGCTCTGAGTTATGTCTCCACTTTTTAACATTTATGTAAAATGAAAAAGCTACTTATTACATTTGTGTAAAAAAATCTGTACACGTCATAGATACACTTGGATAACCATTGAACACTCAAATATTTCATTTATATACCGAAAATTTAGCATAAATTGTCGTTCAAGTGAGTGTTGGAAGTGTGAAAGAGTTTTAATTTTAAAAGTTTTTAGTGTAAAGACCGTTTGTTCAGTAAAACTTGCCCTGAATTTTGATCCTAATAAATTTTATCTTGGCACTTTACGGCAAGTTCCTCGCTTGAGCAATAGAACTTTTTTGCTCCGGTTTTCTTCTTTTACAATCTCATTTTCTCATTTAGGTATATAGTTTTTCATTTCGTTATCTCTCTTCATGCAAAAAAGAAAAGCTTTCATTGAAAACAAACTTATTTCGACTTTTTATGTGAATTTTATTTTTCAGAGAATTTGAATATTTACTAAGGTGCAAGTTTTATTCTAAATTGAATTTTCGTGAACCAAAACACTGAATTTACCTTGAAATAGCTTCGGCATAAATTCAATGTGTATCCTTTTTTTGATTTATCCTTTAGAAATTTAATCCACAGGAAAAGTGCTAAGGCGTAGGCGTGATTGAAACTCAACTCACTTACAATTCTTTTTCTTAAGAATATTTTTCGTAAAATTCTTACACACTTGAAACTTTTACTTCTTCTTTTACGTTCTTTAATTTCACAATTTGCATTTTAATTTAACTTCATTTGAATATTTTTTCGTTTCTCATTTTCGCAAGGGGAATATATTTTGGAATTTTATTCATCTTTTTGATATTTATTATTTCATTCAATTCACTTTCCGGCAAGCTGATTATTTTCACACGGCATTATAAAAGCTCTGAAAACCGGATATCAAAACTTTCCGGCGACAATTATCGCATCATTATTTTATTTCACATCAGTATGTTTTTTGATGTTCTTTCACTTTAATTGTTCAAATTTTTTTATTCCACTGATTTGCACTTTCTATCTGCCAGAAAACACTGCAGTTTCGTTCGCTTCTCAATGCTGTCTGCTTACATAAAACTTTCTAAAGAAATGACTGGAAAAAGAATTTGATCAATGTTTTGTTTCAATGTTTCACAATGTTTTCAATGTTTCTTTTCAATGTTTACATCCCTTTCCAAGATTTTTCACATCCTTGTTGACTTTCCAATAACTTTCAATTTTTTTTTCTCTTTTTTTTGACTTTTCAAGCAACAGCTTTATGCAGCAATGGGAAATATATTTTCACAAGGTCTAACAGAAAATATAAGAATATCTAAGTAAGAAATTGGTTAGGAAAATCATCCATTAGCGATTACTTTGAAAACTACCTCGCTATTAGCATTAAGTCGAGGATTATAAGATATGAAGTTAGAAAACTTTGTCATTTGTTTTCATTTTTCTTATTTCCTCTTCGACTAAAGTTTTGAATTTAATTTATGTTATTGCCTTAAAGCATTCTTTGAAAGTTAACAAAACAACATATTTCTTTCTGGTTTTCTTTATTTCGACAAAGCAAAAGAATAAATGATGAATGCAAGGAGATTATTTATTCAAAAACTTGTATTAAAATATAAATTAAATTGTTAATATGTAAGATATCCTAAAATGTGCATATGCCATTATACTCTTTTATTCAACACCAATGAACTTCATTCAAGAATAAAATTTACAGCTTTATGTTTATCTAACTAAAAAATATATTCTTCACAAATCGATTTTTTTCCCTTGATAAATAAATAAAGCATTTATAGTAAAACGTGAATCCCATACGAAGTATTTAGCAAATTGAGTCAAATTCTCGATGGATTTGCAGAAAGTAAAGGAAAATGAATCTGATTATATTTATTATGCAATGACTCCCATGACAAATCATTTTTGTTTTCTTATTTATTGAGCCCTAAATATTATATCAGTTTTCTTGCGTTGCCACTGATTGCACGAGTAAAAGTATGTTCAACTGGATCTAACACAATTGAAATATACATCATCAAAAATGAAGACTTTAGTGAAAATCTTTCCCAAGTGAGATGTTTTACTCAAATACTTACAATTCTCTTTTATGAGTTTGTTAGAGAAAAACTGGCTCATAAGTGTGAAAGGATTTGGTAAGCATTTCAAGTGTCAAGTGAGTGATTATTGTAAACAAAAGATTCAAGATTTGATTTCCCGAAAACGTGCTTTGAAGAACTGAGAAAATCTTTTGAATTCTTTCAACTGACTGCCAAAGTTTTCCCCAGAACATCTTAAACTACATTCATGCTTAGATAAGTAAATAATGAGTCATGCGTGAGAACGTCTAAGAGTATCTTATTTAAATATCAAGAATCAAATGTTAAAAATCTCGAGTAGAAGGATTGTTTTGGCGCTCTACAAATAATAAGAGAAGTGAAGATGAAATTAAGAAAAGTAAAATATACACAGAACAAAATAAAATTTGTTATTTACCCAGGATACAAAAAAGGCAAAGCTTGTATTCCAAACACATTCGTGAATAAACATTTTACGGAGCATATGTTACGAGAAGTCAGCAATGAATATTTTGATAACAGGCTCGAAATGAATGGGAAAATGTGAAAGGGGAGCTAGCTAAAGGCTGCTGATGAAATTCGTTGTAAATACGCGTCAAAATTTTCTCACGCTTTGATTAAATTCAAACCTTTCTTTTAAGGGCATCCGAATATTTTATGTTTTAGAAAGCAACAGCTGTTTAATATGAGCATATCAATTAAACATTGGGTTATATATTATGCAAATTTATTAAAGTGTAATGTTTACCTTGAATTTTACGGGTTCAAGCTTTCAGGCGTTTTCGTCATAGATTCTTTATGAGAGATTTTCAATGAGAGTAGCTATGTACAAAATTAAAAGATAACAACTTGTTTCGCGATAAAATTAGCTTTTACTTTTTTTTGTTTACATAGATATATTGTATTATAACAATAAGTTAAAACGAATAAAAGATCAACCAATATTGTCTAAGATCCAATCCATGTATTTTAAAACGTCAGTATATATGCCTGGAAAGCCACTTGCGTCTTGACCACAATCGCTATGTCCCGCAGCAACAATGCCTAATTGCACGGCCTTTATCCTTCCTTTAAAATTTACATAATTCATAAGCGGATTACCGGAGTCTCCTAATAACAAAATTTCGTTTAAGTATTACTTGAAAGCCTCTTTATTAAATTCAACCTACCTTTACAGCTGTCTCTAATACTTTCGCCCCCATAACACTGATGTCCTTCTGAGAGTTGAATAATAGAGCTGTGCATCTCTTGACATTTTTCTTTTGACACCTTGGGAAGCAAAACCTTTAAAAGAACATTCGATTCACGACCATTTTCGGTGAAGCCAAATCCAGCTACAGTAAATCGATTGGAAATCGTTTGTTGCATCTCATTGTTTATCGGAAGGCAAATTGGAACGATTCCTTAGGAGATTCACAACAGACACGTATGATATGTATTAATTTTTTTTTATGGACTAGTGAATAAGTAATTTATGTATTTACCTTGCGACATATCAGGTGATTGAGCTAATTTTACAAGTCCAATATCGTTTGCATATCGTGGAGTATTATATTGAAAATGGGGAATTAACTTTTCAATTTCAATATCTTGAAAAGGTGGATTACATTCTTCTCGGTTATCATCAATAAGTTTACAATCCGGATCAGTTGTTAAATCGTGTTCACCCAATCTAACGGCAGCAATCTCATAACCACTTGGAAGATTTGTTATGCAATGTGCACACGTTAGAACATATTTTTCAGATATCAAAGAAGACCCGCATGTTAGCTTAAAGATCCGACCAACTTTGTACTTGATTAAACCAATCCAGGGGAACTCTTTCAAGTCAGCTCTTGTGCCACCAACAATTCTACGTGACGAATCAACTTGTCCGCATTTATCCATATCAAGCTGCGCGTTACCTTTCTTTTCAAATCTCTGATCAACATTGTATTTTTCATCATCCGAAAGTTCAATGTATTGTGCTGAACAGCAAACCCCATCTTCATCAACATTGTTTCGATTTGTGTCAGACGATGTGAAACATTTAATTTGTTGTAAAAACAGTTCACGTTTACGAGAAATTGGTTTGGGAGCGTCTCTATATATGGAACACTGGTGAAGTTTTACACAATAACTTTGAATATTGCCAGGTGATTGGCATGGTTTCATACTTCTTCTATCGTTATATTGAGTATTATTTTTTAAACCTTCATTATCGCTTTGAAGTGCAGCTTTAATCCAACTTAAATGATGCTCAATGTTAGTGAATATGTAAGGTTTATTTTTATCGAAGAACTTTCCATTTCTTGTTGTTGTTGATGTGAATCCTTTATAGACATATTGTCGCTTTCGGCCTGATTCAAGCATTACAGCTCCGAGAAACTCAGAAAAATCTGTATTATTAATTTGAATGTTGGCACAAAATTGACCCGAAGTTAAACTTGAAAATTGTTGATTCGAGAACATTGAACTGCATTCATTGTTTGAAATTGACTTTGCTTTTCCAAATTTCATTACTCCATTTGCATGTTTCACAATTGCTAATGTTGATTTTGAATCTTCATCATTTGACTGCATTAATGGTAAGCAAACTGGATCATTAATCTCAACATCATCATCTATCTCAAGCTTTAATATTGCAATGTCGTTAGCATACTTCGGTTGATTGTAACCAGCATGCACAAAAATTTTTGAGATAGAATATTCTTTTCCTTGAATCTCAACAAAGTCTCTGTTAATTAATTGAAGAGAAGAGTGAACATAACAGTATTAAATAAGCAAATAGGGATATTTACTTTGATCAAGAAGAGAAGGTGAGAAAATAGAATGAGAGATAAAAATAATTAAAAAGTGAATACATAAGATTGCAATTAAAATATTTCTCTCTTTCATTCTATCTCGCTCTATCCCCTTACACCACTTACAGGGTAATGTTTTCAGGTAGTGAGGCGACACAATGTGCTGGAACCACGAGATGTTTGTCTGTAATTAAAGTGCCAAGGCATTGTAACTCGAGTTTTATTTTCCCTGACGACTCTACTCTAAACCATAATTCGCCAATCCATTTGTGAGGCGTTTCATAATGTCGTAGTTTCCCACATGTCTCAAAGTTTGATAATAGTGTGCTAGCGGGTGGTGATATCCGGGGGGGTTGTAGATCGATTGCTAATTTTGTAGTTGTTGGTTCATGTATGGATGCTGAGTTTTCATAACCATAATCAATGTCGTTTAGACTGCAACAAACTTTATGTGAATCTCGCATGATTCCACATTGACTCGAACGTAAATATTGGGCTACGTCCGAATTAGTTAAATGGTCATTATTGATAAGAGCAGTCATCACTGATGTACAAAACATTACATTTATGCATTTGCCTAGGCTATTCACCGGTGTGACACAATCCGGAACAATCGCATTACCTTGAAGTAATTAAATGAACACGATTTAGTATTTAATGGCACGCACATGTGTGACATCTTTCGTAAGACGAGAGTGGAAAATCCCAGCAACAGTTGAATGGGTTTACAAAATTAGTTTAAATATTAAATGGAGTTGCTTGGTTTTGTTGAATGATGACAGCGTAAATTAAACACAGATGTCTTTAAACTTTAATGAGAGAAAACTTACCTGCAGCAGCTATAAAATTAATTGTGATTGGTGTTATCAGGAATAGTATTGATGTCATGGTGGAAATGTTTAATATTATTTCTTTGAAGTGGGAATCTCGGAAAGTTTCACGACCTTTGAACTGATTATCAATTCAATTCACTTTAATTTCAGTGTTATTCTTATTTTTATTTCACCAGTAGGTATTTCTTCTTTCAAAATCACTAAATTAACTCACTTAAATTAAATTCACACAAAAATATTCAGAAGTGCACTTCAGGTTAATTAGCTCTTTTATGGTTTTAATAATAACTTTTGTCTCACACCGCTGTTATTAAATATTAAAAGCTTAAATATACATTAATTAAAACAAGATGAACAGTCAATTGTGAGTTTCGAATTATAACTGAGAACAAACGAGAGTATGCTTATTTAATATAAATAACTAAGCAGCTTCGAATCTTACACTACAGTGTATGTATATATAAAACAACTTTTTACTTTAATCACATTACAACAACAGAAAACTGAGAATGTGAAGAGACAATCTCTTAATTCTGAGAGAAGATTAAAGTGTTTTATTATTGAATCATAGGAAATTCTATTCTCACCTTTGTAAATGAGATAAATATAAAGTTATTTTGATTACAAAGAAATTCATTCAAGAAGTCACCGTTTTATTTCCAGAATACCTACGCATGCTTGTAAGTATGTATGAAAAATTCTCATTGATATCAAAATCTTTTTTCCCCTTGGGTTTTCCATTAAATATTTAAAAGAAACAAAAAATAAGAAGTACAATCAAATCCTTATAAAATTCGAGTAATTCTTCTCCAATGTAATGAATGGGAATTACTTGGAATTTTGAAATTCTTGGAATTTATCGAGTGATTTCATTCATAGAAATTCTGCTGTAAATTAAGATTTTTGTATGAATTGACGAGATGTTGAGTTGACAATCGGTAAATCAATAACATGGGAAAGAAGAAAAAGAAGAAGAAAAAGTTCTTAATCTGCAACTTCATCGATTAAGTCTTTTCACTTTCTTATCGAACTTTTAGGGAAAACTTTTGAAATGTTCATATTCTGAGTAAAAGAAAGTTTTTATAGACTTTTCTATCATCATTTCTAATGGTAAACTTTCATAAGCTTTATTTATCATTGAAATAAAAAGAAGAGGTCAAAAGTTCGATTTCTGATGTTATTCCCATTCTTAATAAAACTTTTTCGCCATGTGCATTACAACATATATTTTATCAATATTATTTATGAAACACTCGTAAAATATTTACTATCACAATAAGTAAAGTTTAATTTTTCATAAAATCAGCAGATATTTATTAAGGATCCCCTATCCTTAGAATTTGAATTCAAAAATCACATTAAATGCATAGAAGTGAAAAAAAAATTGTAGAAACTTTTTCCTAATCTCAGATAATTAATTTGAAATGAGACTTATGTACCTACTATTAAAAATCTTTACCGAAGTTTATGCCTGAAGCTTTTCTCAAATTTCCGAACCAAATCCAAACAGTTCTTTGCAAATAAATTGCTAATAAATACATTTTTCTTCCCCCTATTTCGCGTTTTTTTATTTATTAATCTTTCTCAAAGTTATCAAACAATTGTTTCTGAATAAAAATGTGAAATATTGTTTAAGCACAAAACTTTTCTCTTAGCGGGTCGATCTCGAAATAATTATGATCTGAAGCCCTACTGCTTTTAAATGTGATAGAAAAGAAATGAAAAGAAGAATAAGATTCGTTGAATGAAATTCAAAAATTATTTGCAAGTTGGGGAAAAGTTTGTTTCAAACGTATTTGAAATCGTTCGAATCTTTTAAATAAACAACGAGTTGTTTTGATCAAGGAATTCTTTCGAATACTTTTGGATTAACATTTGATCATGGCACAAGAATGAATAAATAATATTTTAGATATTTGAAGAATCCCTGGACAGCCTAGAATGCGCAATTGAAAAAAAGTGCCTCAAAGAAGGAAATTTTATTGATCCTAAAAAAACAGGATTTGAAATATTTTCTGATGATATTTTACTTAGATATTTGATTTGAATCTCTTTTTATATCATAGATTTTTGTCGAAATTATATATTTGATAAAAATATATTTTCATTGAAATTCTTATAATCGGTACACATAGTTTGTAGAAGATTCAAGTTAAAATGAATATTTAAATAACTCCGGAATAAGATCCACGCCAGACCTTGCTAAGCGAAGAAACAAATTGATTTTCCCACTGAAAATTAAATAATAAATTTATTTATCGCGCTGTTAATAAATAACAAGAATAAATTGCATTTTTTCCTCTTTGCCCACCTACCTTTTTAGCTGCTAGGATCCTTTTGAGGTTTTAAATTCAAATAAAAAGTTATAAATACGCGGCCACAAATTTGATTCACGCTTAAGAGTCAATTATGTCGAAGAGATTAAAAGCTTAAGCTATTTGACTTCAAAAAGTCCGTGAATTACAATGAATCAAAGTTAAAAAAATCTTTAAACGCCTTTAATCTTTAAAAAGGAAGAAAAAAAGGTTCAATTTACGCAAAGCAAATGAGGTTCGAGCCTAAGCCTCCACTGTCAGTTATCAATTGAGTAATATTATATCTACTAAAAAGGACCTAATAAAATGATCCCTTGTTGCCAACAATAACAATAATTTCAGGGTATCATTCTTTTTGTCGATGGATTTCATTTATTGCTTCACTTTCCCCTTTTACTAGAGGGTGACCAGATTTCGTTCAAATATCATATTCAACTAATTCAACATGTCAATACCTTTTAACGCAACAACTAACAAGACATGACATAAATAACGAGCTGTATTAAAGTCAAATCCATAGTTTAATCATTCAACGCACTTCATCCTCAAAAAACAACATCATTCCATTTATTTCAACACTTTCACTCACTATCATCTATCTCTCTCTCTCTCTTCTTGTTTGACAGACAAACCATAAGATTGGGGATTTATTGAAAATTGGCCCATAGAATTATAAACATAACATATCAGCCATCAATTTCATATTATATGAGATTATTTATGAGATCGTTTGATGGTGAAATCAAATCGTAAGAGCGTGAAAGATTTACTGCATTCTCCTTTTCTGCTTTGTCTTCATTTCTTCTCAATCCTCTTTCGCGATTGTTCAATGAGCTCATATATTTGATCAGCGAAAGATTAAAGTGGAGAAATGAATTGGACTTATAAATGCTTTGAGTATGCTAACAATTTTCTTTACATCTTAGGTGCTTGTTGGAAAAGGAAATGAAGAAAAAAAATTGTAATCGTTGGTAAAATTTTATAGATGAAAACCCTAATCCTTGCCCTAACCTTAGCAAAAAGTCAATTTATTTCTATTTTTCTTTTGAATGGTTTTCAAAAATTGCCCTTTTTGCCTCAACCATAAGCAAAAACCAGAAAATCGTTTCCTTACAAAGTAGGTGAAAGAAGGATTGATAAAAAAAATAATGGAAAACGTGTGTTGAATAAATTTTCGTGCGACTTAATGAAGAGGAAGTAATGAGTTGAGTGATGAGAAGATTTAGGATAAGAAGGAATTTGAAATGAATGAAACTTAAGTTCAATGAATGAGAAATTTGGTTAAACAATTAGTACAAGAAAATTGTTCCGCTGTTTCAGAATGAATTCATTAATCTACGGTCACATCTACACCATATGTTCAAAAGAAATAATTTTCCATCTGTTTCGATATTTCAGCAAGGCTTTGTGGTTTATATTTTTCAGACCCTCATTGTGGCTTTTCCGAATGATATCATTTAATGAAAGCTATGAACAGAAAAATATACACACTTAAATTTGATATTTCTTTTTTCTTCTCCTTTCGTCGAAATGTAATTCAAACATGGAAAACACCTTCAATTCGATATTAGACTTAAAATTTGTTTGATTTCATTTTTCCCACCAATATCTTTTATACACAAGCAAAAATTGTTTTTTTGTTCATCCCACGCCAAAGCCGAAACATCGAAAATATTTTTTATATTGACAGTTGGAGCGGCGTAAAGCGTGGGATTTTTGTAAAGATTCAATAAATGTTTAAAAGATTACAAAACAGAAAAAAAATTGACATTTATGACAAAAAAATATTTGTCAAACCACAACTTTTCCTTATTGGACAAAAATTTATTTAAAAATGCCATTACAGTTTACATAAAAAGAGAAAATAAAATTTGATTTCTTTCACTGTCAAAATTCCATAACATAACAGAGATCTTTATCAAAAGATTTGCTTTAGAATATATATGTAGCAGAGCGTAGAAAAATATCATCAACTCATCATTAAAAGCCATTTAATAGCATTAAAAGCTAATTTGAGAATTTAAAAGTCATGAAACTTAAAGTGTTGACAACAATTAGTGATGAAAACATGCTTGATCTAACTATGTTGATAGCTTTCTGGTTGTTGAATTGAGATTCAAGAGCTAATCAATGCCTGGAACGTTGGAAAATAGGTTAAAAACTTTATTCTCACTTTTTTGATGTTTCATCAATGTTGAATGCTTTACATCATTACAATGTTTTTCTGAAGAAAAGGCAAAACCATAGCCGTGGTACTGTTCTATAAGCACTACATTTGTGTTGAGTGAAACATGCAAAACGTTAAACTCATGGAAACTTAAAGATATATTTGATCTCTTACATATAAATGATTATTTTTGAGGGTGCTTTTTGTGTTGGTGGAGCCTTTTTCGGTTTTTTTGACTTGAAGAAAATGTATAAAAAATCTCTGATGCGTCATGCTGAAAGACATTGAAGTAAGCGCGATAAATGTGGTAGGGAGATGATTCGGGTTATAATAAAAAGCGCAACAATATTATTTATGCTTAAGCAGCATTGGATAGGAAGACGATTACTTTAATAGGATTAAATTTAGAGTGAATAAAGTTCAAACGAAATGACTGAGCTCTTATGTATTGAACATACAGCGGACTCTCTATAAAAGGGATCCAATGAATCGAAAGATTATATTTATCGAGAGAAAATTATTAGAAAAACCAAGTTCGGAAAAATTCTAAAACATTTCAATTTATCGTGAATCTGCTGCATTCTGTTCACTCGTTTTCAATGTGGACATTTTTTCCATTAATTTTAATATACAATTATCGGATTTTCTCATTGAAGTTTTCTATTGAAATTCAACAGTCGTTCTTTAGTGTCACATACTACATATTCCTAATCTCTTTACTTCATCTTTAAACAAAAAGCTTTTGAACAAGTTTCTTCCTCCAGATATCTATGGTTGTGGAATTAAAAATCTATAAAACTGATTCATCAGTTCTTTGAACTTCATTCAAAAAAGAACTCTAGCCACAATAAGGCATTTCACGCTTTTATCTTTATATTTACGTAATGCGTATTATCAGCAATATTGCGAATTAGTTCAAGTTTACGTTATTAATACAATAGCATTCTTTTTTAAAATAAAAAGATTTTAAAAATCGTATTCAACATCTAAAAGTAATATGGCTCTCATAAAAAGAAAGCATTATAACGCATACTCTTGCTAGAATAACGCATTTACCTTCATGTGCTCACTAATGTAACGATATTGTGTCATTAGTAACGTGCGTTATTCCAGAATTTTAAAAAAGTTTACTACCCAGAGAAATCATTTTCTTAATCGAAAGTTTTACGCTATCTTCAAGCCAAATTTCTGAATCATTACTAAGCAAACATCTAATGTAACTTCCTGTGAATTTTTAATGATGTAAAGTGTTGATGAGTTTCACAATATTTTCACATCACAACATTGCATGAATGATAAGAAAATCTGGGCGTTTGCTCGTTTGCAATATTTAAGGATATATAAACATTTAAAGGGATATGAAAGTTTAAATCTCAGATGAGAAATTAATTACCTCGTTTCCTTATTTCAAATTCTTGAATTGGAAAAATTGTATAAGCTTCATTCAAGAGTTTTCATTTCATTTGTGCATCCATTAAACGTATAAAATTAAATTCAGATAGATAATTTTTATGTTATTAAAGTTTAACCATAAACCTAATTATTCAAAAACTTTTGAGAATAGAAACCTTTTGTTTTACTACCAAAATACCTTCATACATTGCATGGTATAGTAATCGGAACATATTATAATTAAGTGCTTCAAGTTGAGTAGTTTTTGATTATATCCTTGAACTCATAGCACATTTGAAATATTCAGAAAATTCGTTAAGATTCGGTCGGCTGGAAACTTCAACCGTAAACTCTTATTGCAATAAATTGTTCTCCACGATGCAATTTCCAAGTTTCTCTGAATCAAATTGAATAATATATATAAAAAATAATAACATCTAATATTTTTATGTCTTGGTACTCCGTTGACAATGAGAAACCCAGAGTACTATGAAGAGATAAGAATTCACCATAATTATTAATTATTACAAAATGGAAACGAGAGAAAGTTTCACGCTTTTGCAACAGACCGAAAACATCAAAATATTAAGAGAACATAATAAGAGATAAGTTTAATGCTTTTTATTTGGATATGAGTGAAATATTATTATGATTAAATTTAATTCACGCAACTGGATTCTAGTTAGCTGACCATATTATTTTAAAAACCTTACTTACCCATCCTATAAAAGGATCATTTTATGTAGAGATAAGTCCGCTGAAATCATCAAAAAATATGCTAATGCAGATAATTTAAAATATCTTTCAACCATCCGAATATTCTCTGTGTCGTCTCTCTTCGTTGTGTCCGTTACCCAACTTTTTATTAGTTTAAATATCTTTCTTCACGCAATCATTATCATCATCAACATTTCGCATATTTCTCTCTTTTTTCATTCATAAGCTTAAGACGTTAAATTATACGTTTTTTTTTGTTGTTATAAAATGCGAGGGTGAAAAAGGAAGCGGATGTGATATTATTATATATTTCGCTTCTACTGCGTATGTTTATGACGTCAGAAAAAATCTTATGCTAATCTTTCCGCATAGTTGTTCACGTTTGTTTTTTTTCCTAACTTCATCTTCTTCTTCTTCATTCAACTTTATAAAACATTAACGAAAATGATTATTTACAAGGCCTCAAGATGATAAAATTCAATGCTGATGTTATGCTAACGTTTTGAGAGGTTTTTGAAGTGAACAATAAAAGGGAATACGCGAATATAAAAAAGTTTTCATGCACATTATTTCATTCTTTGTGTCGCTCGTAAATCGGCTTTATTTCTTCTCACTTCCTTCTTCTTCCTATAAAGGAATAATGCAGCATGTTCATTATTTTCATTTCAAAAGTAGACAAAAGCATCTTGGAATCATTAATCGCGAGTATCTTTAAGTGCCTTCTTTTTTTCTTTACAGAATTAATGACTTTCCATTGATACAAGCAGCAAGCAGAAGTTCAATGGAAATTTGATTTCATTATTCGTAATCAATGTTCAACGATCTTTCTTGTTGATGTCTTCAAGGCAATTTATATTTTGTTTTTAAGAGAGGCGTTGATGACTTTGTACATGCATTACCGATGATTCAATGAAGACGCAACATTTACTTTTATGTCATATTTTATGACAATCTTTTGTCATTACGCTTATAAAATATGTTTGAATTTTTAACCATCATGAAGCTGAAAGAATTTTTTTTCCTAAAATTGTTTATTTTTATTATAGTTGTCTTTTCAGCTTCTTTTTTTATGTTGACAATCATTTCCGCATGCATATAAAATAAGGTAGAAAACTTCTAAAGCTGATGTTATGTTCGAATTTGTTATCTTCCTGATCCGTTGTAATGAATGTTGACTTGCAAATATTCTATAGCAAATGCTTTCGAAAGATTTTCTAAAATTTCTAAAGAGAAATAAAAATTTATAGAAAAAACAAACAAAGCGCTTTAAAGCTTTAATAGCATTAAAGTTGCGCTAAAAATTTTAGTAAAATTCACTCGTACATATCAATGCATTTCTTTTATCGACAATGCGACGTTAAAGTTTTATTTTTTTAAAAACTATTCGACTACTGAATAATATTAGTTGATATAAGAAAAGGAATAAAACTGCTATTGAAATTCTTTCCTTCATTTCCGACTTTACAACTGAATGACGAACGAGACGAAAGCTTTAATTTAATTTATTTTCTCTGTCGGAAGTATGACAGACTTACGCAGACATTCTATTCCTACCTACAAAAAAAAGTTTCTTCTTTACATCCAATATTGATGACTGAGGGAAAGTCAAAAGTGCTGAGTCGGATAAAATTAAATCATTATAATGAGTGGAAATGCACACTGATTAATACTTCCATGAGATCAAATTTAGTCACCCATTCCTGTTAATTTTTTTTTTCTCATACACCTACTCAGAGAACAAAAGAAGTTACAAATGACCTCACCATTTGTTTGGTTGATTTTGATAAATTTGACCTCCATTCATTTTCGCTTCTTAAATTTAAAGCACTTTAGTTAATTGAAATTTGTCTCTGTCGCCCCTTAAGAATCAAGTATAATGATTGTTCCAAGTTCACCCCTGACACTTAATCTTTTTTCTAGAAAGCGCAAAGAACTATGAAAAAGGGGCTTTGTGCAATTATGAATAAATCACTTTTCCACTTTTTTTTTTCTTCTTTTTGTCTCATGACTGAACGCAAACAAAAAAGATGCTTCAAAAAAATGAGCTCTCGAAGTCGAAGATACTTCAGTTGTGCTTGTGCTTCGTTTCGTCTCCCCTTTTTATGCCAACTTTTGAAGTTTTCACGTGCTATATTTAGTATGAGAGATACTTTCGCTAAAGCATAAAATCAATTTAAATTTCTCTCGCATTTGTCGTATATTTTTGAGGAACTGTTCTGAAGCTATGTTCCGGCAGTTCATTCAACGGGAAGCTTCATGAAAAATTCACGACTACATGATGCGATTCCTAAATGGCTAAGGACTTAAGAAAGAAAACTTGAAAGAAAACATAAAATAAGCACAGAAAAAAAATGTAAATGCGGTTTCAGCCCGTTTAAGTTTACTTTATGAAATTCATTTAACACCAAATTCTTCGCTAGCGACACAAAAAAAAACGCGGCACATCAGCATAATGAATAAAAATCGCTTGACGCTATTCGTCAATGTAGTCATGTCATCATAATCTTAAGTTAAAAAAGAAGAAATCACGAGAAAGATAACGAAAAATGTCTAATATTGTTAAATTATTTTTCTTTTCTTAGATCTTTCCACCCTGTTTTACGTTACGTGATGCTGCTACAGATGACACTAAATGGAATAACACGCGTGATAAACCACGATGCGGAATACAAAGAGGATTTAAGACTTACAAAAACGTTCTTCCATTGTTTTGCTTCTTTTCTTTTCCTACAAAATGAGTAATGAAATCATAAAATGTAAATAAATAAATATAAAGTAGATAAGTTTTATATAACACAATAAGAAGCTTTGACTAGAACAAATCTTATTTTCGAATGAATAAGGTTTCATTCAATGAAGCTTTTTGTATTCTAAAACAAATTGTTTCACAAAAAAGTTGGGAAAAAGTTGAAGGTATCGTGAAAAACTTAATACTTAGAACAATAAAGCTTCAAAACTTGGCTGTCGATTTGATTTCGCTTTTATTAAAGGCACTTTCGTAGTAAATAGATATTATATAAAATGTTTCATGTTATGATAATGCACTACTTAGACTACTTAGAAATATTAAGTAACTTATATTGGCCATCTTACAAGTAAATTTATGAAGAGTGAAATGATTTTCCAATTAATTTATGTTAAGGAATTCTTTTATGAGGATTCAAATTGTTATATAAATATTCTAATCAGAAATTTCTATTTCAAATATTCAAGATTCATCCAGGGAAAATCTGTTGAGATCATCTGTCTCATTTTGTATTCAGATCAAGGCAAATCTAAGTTTCCTGTTATCAAGTGGAAAAAGAGAGATCAAAGAAAAGTCTGCTGTGTGAAGGGAAAGAGAATAATGCCACAAAAATTGAAAAATCTTTTTACGAGGCGCGCACAAGGTCATGAAAGTCATGATTATTATTTAGGGGAAAACACATGGGAAACAGTGGCATATTTTATGTTCAATCTCTCAATTTTCTGGTATGTTTTCCTTCCATGCTCTATACATTTATATCTACTTCCATACCAATTGTAATATATGGTTATTTTTTGCTTCACCTAGCAAATAAATCTGAGAAGTTTCTCTTCCATAACAAACATACTTTTTCTCATGGTTTCAGCTTGCGACTAGCATGTAAAAGCAACTTGATGTTTGCGATCTTGAATTGAGATTTTCTCTTTTTTGTTTGTTTGCTTGTTTGAGAGCTTATTATTTACAACCATTGTTGATCTGAAAATTCTTATGCTTTGTCAAAGTGATGTGATAACAATTTCATTATTTTTATTATACATAAATCAATAAATAAACCTTATGTTGTGATGACATGCTGCCATGGATAACTTTCTCGTTTACTATGACGATATTTATGTTCTTTAGGCAATTTTCGAGAACTTTTAATAGGTAAAATGATAATTGAAATTGTTTTGACATTATTTGGAAGTTCCTTAGTAGGTGGCTTTTTATGTTTTACGGGATAAAATTTTATACATTAATCAAGCAGTGAGCTCTTCTTGAGAATAAACCTAAACTTGAGTTATAAATGGCTCAAGAACATTAAATTCTACTCGAAATTCATGATAAAAGAAAATTTATTGCATGTGAATTTAAAATTAGATTACGTTAAGTGAAATTTCCTCTTAGATTCATAATATTAAGAAAGTTCTTTAAATTAAAAAAAATAAATAAATTTATGATTCAATTTATACATACGAATGCATCAAAATAGATATATGTATGAATATATTTTATCATCATAATGGTGAAGTAAAAGCTTTATGTGGCTTTTTGTTCCTGATGTTCTTTCTGTAATTTTGACTCTTTGCCAATTTATTAATATGAAAAAATAATTCAATTGAAGTCCTTGTTATATATTTTTACATGATATTTGTTGCATTGTTCGAGATAGATATTTATGTTTGTGGTTTAGGAAACATTTAGTTGTCCTCTGTGAATTATTGTTAATAGATATTTATTTAAACAAGGAAGTAATTAAATATTTATTCGATAAACCTCCACTGTCTGATAATGAATGATGAAATAAAATTTCATGAGATAATTTATGATGTATTTTTAAGTTTTTTTTTATAGGTATCTTGAAAATAGTTAAATATTAAAATTAAAAGGGATCATTTTCATTACAATTTTACGACAAAACTGACATTTGACGATGATATCAACTCAACAAGACTAGACTAGATAACTTTTTTGTATCTTTATGCTTACTTGAAAACAGTGATAAGCAATAAACTGGCCATTTTCATTTTCCTTCGACCACTTTAAATAGATACTATGCTGTTGAATGTTATTATAACAAGAAAAGGTTTTATATGTACGTGCGTAACGTAATATTTGCTAGACCTGAATTTTAGTGCTAAGGCTTCTAACATACATATGTTGGATTACGAATGATTATTGAGATTTTGTGGGAAAGATAAATGAAAAGGTTTTTCTTTCATTGCTACTACTCGGCATGGGATAAATCTAAAGATAAATTTTACTAGAAAAGGCGAGGCGTAGAACTATAGAAACCTTCTTTGCATTCCAATTTTTTCAACTTATTTTTGCCTATTCTGATACTTACGAACTCATGGAAACTATTTCATTGTCATTTATCATTTCTTTTGTCTTAGAAGGGTCCGCTCTAAATAAAGTCTTCGAGGAATGTAAGATAGTGTTGTAAGAGTGAAGAATAAAGAAACTTCTTTAAAGTTTTCTTTAAAAAGCTTATAAGTTATAAAAGATAAGATGAAATTGGCTACATTTGTGACTATTTATAAAATATGTAGATACCTTTTCTCATGAAAAAGATATTGTTAACAGTATGTTTATGTTTCTATGGATAATTTCTACAATAGAAAATTTGTTACATAAATATCATACTTTTGAAAATTGAAGGAAAATAACATTTTTAAGAATGCCTTTCATACAAGTTACACTATGAGTTACAACACAACCATTTAACTTCAGAATTCATCGGAAAATATTTAATACTGCCGAAACATTACATGAAAATGTTTGTATTAGGAATTCTTTTCACCCAATTATTGATAACAATCAATTTTCTTCTTTTGGAATCAGAAGTCAAAATGAAAAGAAGAAAATATTCCATCAAGTGGATCATTATCTAAAGAACATTTGCTATTTCATCCAAAGTATCGTCATTATTGTCAATTTACTTTCGCCAAACTCAGAATTAATACGTTTGAAGAGATAAAATGTCTATTAACCTTCAACTGTAGTTAGGCAATTTATATTCTATGGCCCTTAATATCCACTTGCATGCCAATTGTAATGTTGGAAATGCTATCAATTTTTCTTAAGAAAACAACCGATGTCAACCAGAGATGTGAGGTAAGAAAAGCCTATTTGAATTAAATTAAAGTCAATAGGATTTTTTTAGTGAATTTCTTTCTTTAAGTATCTATTAAAGAGAAGTTTATGACAGAAAATTTATTTGTGTCAAAGCTTTTGTATATGTAGAATTCATTCCAATCCTTTCAGCAAGACTAAATGATTCATTAACTTGAAATGAAAAGAATGAAGTATGAATTCCAGACGCAATCTAGAGAAAAAAGGATTAAATCATTTATGAAAAAAAGGAGCGAAATGATTTTCAAAGACACCATTAGAAGGAAGAATTCAAAGGATAATTTCAGAAACTGTCTTAGAAAATAGAACGGATAAAAACTCGAAGTTTATAACTATCTGCTTGATGCTGAAGTGCTTATTAAAAGGAATAATATTAAGTAAATCGTTGGACTTTTATTTATCTAACAAGATGGCTAAGGGAGATCTCCAATGCTTGAAGCTAAGTACGAAATACTTATCATCTTGTTATGAGTTAGAATTTTTGTTTATGCTTCCACTAGATAACTTCTTCCTTACTGCTTATATGTATAAATAAATGAGCTTTAAGAAACTAGTCATGTTTCCTTCCGCATGACAGAAAATAACAACAGCATTGAAATAATTTTAGTTCATAAATAAATATCTTTCAAGTGTTGTTCCGGAAAATGCTTTCTACGACATTTTTTACTATCCAAAATTTCTCACTTTCTTTCATCTCTTTTTACTTACATTTTATTTATTTATTTATTTATTTCCGTAAAGAATTTTGGGACTAACGACAGTCTACGTGACTGACTTAGGTTCATGACAACACATTTCGACAGAAGGAGAACAATGTCTTATCGGGCTATTTATATTTACTAGATTAAATGGTAAGCAAATATGACAATTGAAGCATGCAACATAATGTTAACGAAGGATACTTTTACATATTGAAGTCATTCCCATGTCGAAATTTGATTTAATGTTATTATCGACATTTATTTTCTCCTTTTCATGGATTTTTTATAATTGATTGTATTGAAAATATCGAAAATTCTTTAGAAATATGTCTATGTTAACAACGGATGAATAAAACCCTTAAAAGATTCAAAATGGAAAGAATTTTTCATGCTTATTTATTCAATACATTTGATTGCCATCAATTTTCAATAACTAGATATATCTATCTATTTTTGGCATGTCATTATATAATTCAAATATATGAAAACTCGTCAACTTTCCGTTGATTTTATCACGAGTTTTCTCTTTTATATTATCTAAGAAAGAAATTATGTAAATCATACTATATTGAGTTATACGAGCATATTTAATGATCTAAGTACAATGAGATATCTTCAGAGTGTATATTTTCTATGTCAATATTTTACGTGAATTTAATAAAAATTCATATCTGTGAAGACAATTAAATTGAATAGTAGTCAAAGCTGCAAGCAGAAAAAAAGAAAATCGAAAAAAATTTATCAAAAATTTTCAAATCCTTCAACAGAAAAATGAACTTTCTGAAATTTTCTATAATAAAACAGATTTCTCTTTTCTTCTGAGATTTTAAAACGCAGTTGAATTTATTTATTCATTAGATAAAATATTTATAGACACAAAAAATTGCAAATAAAATAGTTTGCAAACAATCTTTTTAATTATTTAAGTACGTTACGTCTTTAAGTGAAAATGAAATTTTTCATTTTTAATAAACAGAAAGGAACTCAAAGGAACAAACAATTAACAAAATGTATTCAATCACACTTCAATTTCATTTGATGGTATAAACCCACCTACTTATTCTAAGACTTTTGCCATCTCTGGCTTTCGTATTTTTCTTTCATTTTTTTCATGATGGTAAATTACAACTTTGTACTCAACATTTATCTATGAAAACCTTTTTTTCTTGGTTTAAATTTATTTATTTTCTAAATCGTGCTTAGGAAACGTAGAATCATGTTATATTTAAGAAATTATGTTGGCACGACTTGATGTCATTGAAATTGTCGAACTGGTTCTCTCTGTTTTCTGTGATGTTGTTTCTAGCACGTCATCTTCATCGTCGGTTTGATTATCAACCCGTATTGCCTCGTACCATTTACTTTGAAGTTCAGCCATTTGAGATTTACAATCACGAAGTTCCTAAATATTTATTGGAATAAATATGTGTGAATGAATAAAGGTTTTACACATTTATTTATTGAGTAAACATTTCAATGAAAAGAATTATTCGATTTCTCACCTGATTTGTAAATCTTCGAGTGAAAAACGGTGTAAAATATTTTCTATCCAATCGAGCAAATCCACCGAGTTTTGAGTCGGAAAAGTTTACTTCTTCTTCTTCTGTTAACTCTGACAAGTGTTCCGAATCGATTGCCTGTCCAAATTCACGCGTTTTACTGAGAGATATAACTTTCTCCTTGCGTCTCCCATGACTACGTGAACGACTTCTTGTTCTACCGTCTGCAGCTCGTCTGCTTTTCTTTCCAGCTTGTAAGAATTTTAACAATGGCAATGTTGATCCACCAAAGAAAACTGTTGTGAACAAAACTATGATCAATGTTGTTGAGATCATTACACGTCTGGTCTCTTCTTTTGAATACTCTAAATGAAGACTAAGTGCATAAGAAATCGCTCCACGAAGCCCAGAGAACCACATAATGAAGCTCATCTTTGGAGTTATTTTGGTTGCTCTGAATTTGTTGACCATCCAAGAAAGTGGAAATATATTTGCTGCGCGACCAATTAAGCATAAAATTATGCTCCATATCACTAATGCTGGTTCAACCTGATGTTTGAAGGAGAAAATAGCTAAACCGAGATAAGCAAACACGCAAGTTTCGCAAATGAAAGCCAAAGTTCTCATCGTTTGTTGCATAGTAATCTGAGTAACGGTCGACAGATTAAAGTGACTGTAATGACTCATTACAATTCCATTAAATAAGATTGCCATAATTCCTGAAAGATGACAACCTTCAGCAAGTACATAAGGACAGTAAGTGAAGACAAGAAGTAACGCAAGTTCCAACGAAGGATGTTTGCGAAGATCTAAAAACAACACAATGAAAATAAAGAAAACGTTTTTAAGAAGCTTAGCGACTACTCAGTGAGATTAATGTCAATTTAGTAAATGAATTTAATGTTGCTAATGTTGTTGACAAATTCGGTAATACTCACCAACATATTTAAGCAGAATTGCACTGATGAGTGCAAAGACGACTCCAATGCCAGCTGATGCAAAGAACATCATGCAAAAGCGATTTAAAGCTAGGATGATGGCTTCACCTCTACCAACACTTAATAAATCATGACCAGATGTTTTCGTTGATGAAGGCATTACAGTTGTTGTTAGAACAATACTGATTGCATCATTTAAAATACTTTCGCCAAAAACTAACATGTTAAGTACGGGATCAATATCTAAGGCATGAAAGATAGCAATTGTTGCGACAGGATCAACAGCTGATATCAAAGATCCAAAAGCAAAACTCTCAATGAAGTTTAACTGATAAGCTACGTCAGCAATGCCAAGAAGATAAACTCCACTTCCAATTATTAAAGCTGAAATTGCAGTTCCGATTATTGCAAAAACACAAATTGAGCCAATGTTTTGGAAAAAGTTTCCTTTGTGCAAGTTGTAACCAGACTGTAAAAGATTGAATTTGTATAACATTATCAGTATTGATATTTGATCGAATTTCTTACTTCAAAAATTATCGGTGGGAGAAGTACAAGAAAAAAAGCTGTTGGTGAAAACACTTCCTCTCGCTCAAATACTGTTTTAACAGATGTGTAATTGAGAATAACTCCAATCAATGCACCCAGACAGACGGTACTGGAAGAATTTTGAAATTTCAAAATTATATGAAAATTAAATTTAAATTTAAATCTTAATAAACTTACACAATAGATTCCGGGAGATATTGAAAATTTGTTTGAAGCATCATATGAATTAGAAGAATTCCCAGTGCGATAACACATAAAACAAAAAAGATAGACAACGAGCTTCCTTTTTCAGCTTCCACAGCATTTGGTTGTGAGGTCGTTGTTGTTGTCACGCTTGAACTTGTACTGCTCAACTTCGCTGATATATATGGAGGTTTCGTAACATTTGTTATGATATCATTTTCAATTTTCACTTCGTCATTTAAGATTGATGAGCTCTCAGCTAGATCTTGAGTTCCTGTATCTTTCGAATCATCTGACTGTGCTTTGGACTCACTTGGTGACTCCAAAGAATGTGTGCTTACAATAACTAATAGGAATAAATAGAAAACTTCTGTACACTTCATTATCACTTGTTAATTAATATTGTATTTGAAAAATAAAAGTTTTATCGTATTTTTTCTTCACATGACGAAAGAAAGAAAAAATTATTAAAATTTTGTAATTTTTTTCGAGCTTCTAGAACGTTCAGAAATCGTAAAGTTCGTTATAAACGCAGTGCAAGGTTTTCGAATGATTCTTTAGTATTATTAATAGAAATGCATTAAATTTTATTAATAAGCAGTTTTTCAGAACACAATTAGCTTAAAATTATTGCGATGAAGAAAATTTTACTGAATAATAAATTTTTAAAAATGTAAACAAACCAATGAAGACCAAACTACGATTTCTGAACGTCAAACCTGAAGTGAAATTAGTTTTCGAATATTGTAAATTATATTTCATTAAATTGTAAGCTTAATACTATCAAAACAAATTGAAAATATTGCCAATATATAAAAAAAATTGTTCCCTAAAGGTAAAAATGGTAAGTTTCTAAAATATTGTGAAAAATTTGATATTAAAACGTGAAATAAAATGTGCAGTATTTTAATGGAGTAAACCCATGAAGAATAATAAATTATCAATTGAATTTTTGCAATGTGCTCTTAACTTTACTTTTAGTCTATAAATGACTTCCTTAAGGACCTACCTGTACATAATGAAGAAAATTTCTCGCTATATAATATTGACAACGCAAGAACATCATCAATGAAACGACCATCCGTATATTTACCCACGATCGATATTCCAGCTGAACAAAGTAATTTTTTTAAATCATAAAATTATATACATTTTAATATTTATACATTTTTTATGTATTCAAGTTATAATCACAGAGAAGAAAAATATTCTCTTGCGTTACTTGCATCAAACATGGGACAAGAAAAATGCACCTAAGAAACGAGAAGCAGAGTCAACACCATCAGATAACCTTTTCCGAAAACGATTGCGTCTTGAACGATCTGATTCCAATAATCCTAATAATAACTGAAAAATTCTCTTAAATTGCTACCATTTTCTAATTTTCATTTATTCATCTATCCTTTTCGTGATTCGAATCAGTTTTTCTCATGAATGTTTGATGCGCTAAACAAACGAAAAGTTGTGCGCAATCAACTAGCCAGGTTGCAGTTTCCATAAAACAAAATTTATATGTTAAATACCTACCTAATTTCTTTGTTTCTTTACATATTACGTATTTCTATTGCGCTGAAATATGTTTTTCTCTTTTTATTTTAAATATTAATATAAAAAAGAAAATAGATGAAAAATAAAACATCTAATTAAATTTTTAAGTAGCGTTCAATCATAATACCTAATTAATAAAAAAAGGAATAAATGCAAAATTTTAAAATTTGTTTCAATTTTTTCACTTTTATTTTCATACCCAAACTATGCATGTCTACGCAAATTTGAAACATTATCGATCTCGGTAAGTCCTACATCCTGATTTTAAGGAGACGGGTACGTTTTCAATGTTTTTTATTTCTTTTTAATTTAAAAACAAATTTTTTAAATTATAATATCAAAAGAAACAATGAAATTGTAGTGTACAGTTGAAATTTGTCGCCCCCGTGTTTTCCAGCTTTTCTTTTTTCCTTCGTTTTCTTTCTAATTTAAAATTAAAAAGTAAAAAGGACTTAATTTTTATAATGAACTTAAGCTTATTGCATTTGCATCATATCATGTGTATGATGACAGCTACTAATAAAACCAGCTTTTGCAAAAGCTTGAAAATATTTCTTCTTTCTAGTTTACTTGAGATATTTACAAATAATTCATTTTTCTTTCTTCATTGTTACGAGATAAAAAATATATGTATCATCGCAAGCTTAGTTAAAAACAAAAGATGATGAAGAAGGAAAAAAAAAATTAAAAAATTGCATCATATTATTGTTGCCTTGAAATTTTCAAAACAATTAAAACTGATTAACTAATAAATTATTAAACTAAAGCTTCATTATGAAAAAATATTAATCTTAAACCTTTCTTATATTTGAAATTTTATCATATCTATCGTCGACAATTTACTTTTTCTTCTTTATTCAATTTTTCTCTTTTGTAAATAAACTTTTCGCCATTTTACTACAGAAATCAATCTATAGTATCTATCTGTCAATTTAATTGGATTTTAATCAAGATATCAACATGATTTTTTATCGAAAATATTCCGCTTATCACAAAAGCGATCAGTTTTCTCTATAAACAATCGAAAATTAAAATATTTTATGGTTCGATCGTTTCTTAAGAGTCGCGGAGAAAGATTCAAAAAAGTTCGTTTTTCTTTTTATTCAGCATTTCCACTGTCTTCGCCTTCACCATCATTCATCGATTCTGAGTCTGACTCACTGCAATCATAGGCGTCGTCGTAGAAATCTGTCATATCAAGCTGAAAACATTTCAGAAATTTAAATCATTTGTTGAAAATGTTTCCTTTGTGTTTCAAACCTGAGGTTCTTGATTGTTAGGATTCGTTTTAGGTTTAAGACAATATTCTTCTAATGTCAGTGGAACAACAATACCCTCCTTTTCTGCTTCCACTTTTGCTTGCAGAGCTTGTTTTCTAAGGAATGAAATAAATTTTTATTTCTATAATGATGAAATCAATTTAACATTGAGTCACTCATCTCCAATTTAGAGATTTTCAATGAGTCATTTATTCTTGGTAATACCTGATTATGTTTGGATACTCGTTATCACGACCATTTGAGTCACGCCATCGGCGATACATCACGCTGGCATCGACGTTTGCCGGACTAAATGTGTTAGGTTCATTGAGCAAAGAAATAACGGAGAGAAGAATCGTTCGGACGTTTTGTGTTGGATTCCATCTTTCACATGGCAGTTCTCCACTTTGAGGATCGTCAACAGGCGGATGAAGAATTGAAATACATAAATCGCCATTCTCATAAACATTTGGATGCCATACTTTTGTGATGAATCTTATAGATGGAGGCGAGTATGGATAATCTGTTGGGAACTTCATCAATGCCTACAAATGTAAATAAATTGAAATGAAATTATTTTCTGAAAATGGGAAATCCCAACTATCTAGCATCACTCCGAACAACAAAAATTTATTTTTACATCGATTTTTCATTGTGAACACGTTTTTTCTTTTCTCTATTTCGTTTTGGAAAAATCTTTTTCCTCACCTCTAGGTTTTGCGTGGTGCATATATGAAATAAACAATAATGGGAAAGAAAGGAAAGAGAAAAGTTCTTTTTCCTCAAATGAAAAAGAAGTAAAATGTGAACAAAGACAAACGCGGTTCGATCTCGAACTGTCCCTCGCGCGTAAATAGATAAAGGTCATTGTCATTTCTTTGATTCACGAGAACTTTTACTGTAATCTCCGTTGTAGATTATTATTAGTTTTTTCTTCGTTTGTTTATTGTTATCAACATGAAAATTCAAATCTTCAGTCGTATATTTTGGTAATTGGAGAGGAGAAAAATTTTAAGTCTAAGCAAAACAAACAACGAAAAGAAAATGCGAATCACATTGCGGACCTTGAAAAGCTCAATGTAAAAAGATGCTTTTGTCGAAAGTGAATATTGTCAAAAGTAATGACAGGATAAAGCTTACCTTAAAGTATCCACCTTGGTAAAGAGTCTCTGGAGGACCAAACAGTCCAACCTAAACACAAAGAACACCCACACATGAGTCATGAAAATTACATCTGATTGCTTTGTTTCAAAAAAAAAAAAGAAACTTGAAAATTTCGTAAATCACTTACACTCCATTCAAAAAGATTATCGTCATTTAATAATTTTACTCGGAAGCCTTCGACAGGTTCCTCTTGTAGACTTTTGTATTCTAATGCTAAGGCTCGAACTGCTGATGAACTCATACTTCTTTTTTAATAATCTGAGATCTCGCTTTTATAAATAAATTTTCACTCTTTTAATGTTTGTCTTTTACTTGAGACAATTTCAGATTTTCTTTTAAAGAGAAAAACTTCTTCCTTTTTCCAAGCTTTTAACAAGAAATATTTCTAAATATTCACACTTTTTTGTACACCAGAACTTTTTTTACTTCGTCACGATTGCCTTTGGGACTTTTCTTATGACATTTGAATCAGGTAATGAATAATAAAAGATTTCGACGAAATAACTTTTCTATAAGGAGTGCACTTGAACCCCCTTTGAGTTCGAAGGGAATGAAAGTGATAACTTTTGACAGGCGGACACAGACAATTTGATAGAATACCTAAAATTATTTTCTTTTGCTAAAAACGTTGTTTCAAGAAGTGCCGAAAATAATCAAAAATAATGGTAATTCAACTTAATGTTAAGTCTTAATAACGTTCTTATTAGGTAGTTTTAAAAGCTTTTCACTCAAATGAGTAAAATAACTTTAAGAATTAAATGTAATAATTGAAGAATTCGTTGCAACATAATACATGTGCAGAATTTTCTAGATGAAAATTATTTTCAATTAAATTTAATTAATATACTAAAGTTATATAGGTTTTTAATCATTACATAAATTCATAGTTCACACTTAGTATGGAAAATATGAAATGAAACATGTTTAGAAATAATTTCAAGTTTATTACATTTTTGGTTAAGTTGAGTCACCTGAGCCAATTTAATTTTTTTTATATATTCTAGGTATCCCTCAATCCGGTTAGAATTCTAAAGCATGAAGCTGAAGAAGAAAAGGCTGAGTTAGCCCGTTTATCATCATTCGTAGGAGCGATCGCCATTGGAGATTTGGTCAAAAGTACTCTCGGACCTAAGGGTATGGACAAGATTTTAGTGTCACAAGGACGCAGTGCTGGCAGTGTTGAAGTCACAAACGACGGTGCTACTATTCTCAAATCAGTTGGAGTTGATAATCCAGCAGCAAAGATTTTAGTTGATATGTCACGAGTTCAAGACGATGAAGTTGGAGATGGAACAACATCAGTTACGGTCTTGGCATCAGAGTTGTTACGTGAAGCTGAAAAACTCATCGATTTAAAGATTCATCCTCAAACTATTATTGCTGGTTGGCGTCGAGCTGCAAGTGTCGCTCGTGAAGCTCTGACAAATTCAACCCAAGATCATTCAGAAGATTCGGAGAAGTTTAAAGAAGATCTAATGAACATTGCTCGGACAACATTGAGTTCAAAGATTCTTTCTCAGCACAAGGAATACTTTTCAAAGCTGGCAGTAGATGCTGTCCTTCGATTGAAAGGTTCTGGTGAACTTTCAGCTATTCAGCTCATCAAAAAAAGCGGTGGAACTCTTGAAGACTCTTTTCTTGACGAGGGATTTCTTCTGGATAAAAAACCAGGAGTTCATCAACCTCAACGAATTGAAAACGCTAAAATTCTCATCGCTAACACTCCAATGGATACCGATAAGATCAAAGTATTTGGATCTCACATCAAAGTTGATTCAATGTCGAAAATAGCTGATTTAGAGTTGGCAGAGAAAGAAAAGATGAAGGACAAAGTGAATAAGATTCTCAATCATAAATGTAATGTCTTCATCAACAGACAACTCATTTATAATTATCCAGAACAATTATTCGCTGATGCCGGTGTAATGGCTATCGAACATGCAGATTTTGATGGAATCGAACGTTTGGCATTAGTTACTGGTGGTGAAATTGTTTCAACATTCGACAATCCTGAACTCACCCGTTTGGGAACATGTGATGTTATCGAACAAGTTATGATTGGGGAAGACACATTGTTGCGATTCAGTGGAGTAAAATTGGGAGAAGCTTGCACAATTGTCATTCGTGGAGCAACTCAGCAAATTATTGATGAAGCTGAACGATCATTACATGATGCACTTTGTGTTTTAGCCGCGACAGTGAAAGAATCGAGAGTTGTTTATGGTGGCGGTTGTTCCGAGTCATTAATGGCTTGTGCTGTATTAAAAGCTGCAACTGAAACACCAGGAAAGGAAGCAATTGCTATGGAAGCTTATGCACGTGCTTTGCTCCAATTACCTACCGTTATTGCTGATAATGCTGGTTACGATTCAGCTCAGTTAGTATCGGAATTAAGAGCTGCACATTCACAAGGAACATCAACAATGGGATTGAACATGGATGCTGGAAGAGTTGGATGCATGAAAGAGCTTGGTATCACCGAATCATTCGCTGTTAAGCGTCAAGTTGTAATGTCTGCAACTGAAGCTGCTGAAATGATTTTACGTGTTGATGACATCATTCGATGCGCACCAAGAAAACGTGTTCCAGATCGTGGATATTGTTAAGATACTCAACATTTATAAAATTCATTTCTTCTTACAAGTATCTAATTAACCCATCCACCCACGTCAACAAAAAAAAACATAAACATTTGCACTCAACTTCTCTGCGTTCTAATCAATTTACATATTTTTTTGTTTCTTGCTTTCAATTTACATAAATATTTAACATAACTAATAAATTGAAAAACTTTTTCATTTAGTAAATCAATGGGTTTTATTTTTTTTTATTTCAAGATATGAAATTCATATTAGATACCTAATTAAGAATATTTAGCTTTGCTCCCATGAAAGCTAGTGACTTCGTTAGCTTCTTCATGAATGATTTCTTTTATTACACTTTTGCGGTAAGAAGACAAAGAATTATTAGAAAAAAGGAAGAAGAACATTCGAATTGAAAAATAAACTTTTCTTCATTTGCACATTTAAGATTTATTCAATTCAATTTAAATTTCATCTTAATTATCACAATTATTATTTGTGCATGTTTTTCTTATTCTAGTACACTCATTAAAAATAAATAAAGATTGACGGAACTAACGACAGAGAATGTTTCCTCAATTATTTCAATTACGGAAAACCACAAAATTACTAAATAATGTTATCAAAAAATCTAATTGTAGATTTGTTGACGACAAAGTCATTGCATAAGGAAATTTGAAAAAATATTCAAGTGACTTTCACGCAAGTTCCAATTCAAAACCGAAAGTTCGCATTTTGAATGAACAATAAAAAATCATCAAATTTGGTTATCAAAAGAATTGAATAATTTGATGTTTGAGATCACGTAAAAAGTAAACACATTAAAAACATTAAATGGTTTGAAAACAAAGTTACTCTTA